TTATCACAATTAATTAATAATCAATTAATAATATGAGAAAATTTTTATGAAAATAATGAATATTTATTTTATATGAAAATTAATAAATAATATTTTTTTAATTATTTATTATTTTAGATTATAATAATCTTTTAAGGTAAATAAGAATAAAATTTCTAAAAGTTTCATTATTTGATGTTTTATAATAAAATTTATAAAATAACTATAATTTTCAAATAAATCATCACAAAATATAACACAGAATTTAATCATAATGAGTATCATGTAATTATTGCACTAAATTTGATGAAATTTAGGAAAAAGCAAAGGTGTAATGCACTGCCAACCCAAAGATTTGATAAATTTGTACACACCTCTGTAAATAATTATATATATTATATTTTACAAAAAATTACATCAAATATTTAAAAAATTATTTAAACCAATATATTCTATAAAATCGATAGAGAATTTTAGATAAATATGGCTTTATCTAGAGTTTTTATATATTTGTGTAAAAATTAAATAATATTATTTTTAGTAATAACATTTTTACATTGTTATTAATTAATTAAAGATCAAGATTAATTGTTAATTTATTATATAAAAACAATTATTACTAAATTTTCTAACTTATATTTTCGTAGAGCCTATTGTCTTTCAATGAATCCTGATTAGGGGAAAAGGTTAATATTTGGTTGCCAAAAAAGCTTCGCATAGTCCTGATAATTTATGGACTGGTGTAAATTAGTTACCTAAGTTGTCATTCATGTTAGAGGGAGGAATCTTGTCTGACTGAATCATGGAAATAACAATATCAATGTCTGTTAATAGTATTAAAAAATTAAATTTAAATGATTTTTATTTCATGAATTACGGTGTCTCAATGATATAAATATTAAATTAATAGAAATTATTATTGGAAATATAAATTTTAACATTTTTCTTTAATGTCATAGAGAAAATTCATCCCATAAGCAATATAAAATTGTCCTTAATATTATAAATTTTGATGAATACTCTTATTAATTTATTTTAGTTGTCCTGTTATTTATATTATTACTAATATTAGTAAGTCAACCCTTATTTTAATTGCGTTTTGAATGTACTACAAAATATTTAGAGAGAATTAAAATATCTTGACTGCATTTTGAATTAATTTCTTTCTTCATAGTATATTGGAATAAAAGTTGATCGGTTTTCGAATAAGAGAAAATGTATCGTTGTAAGAAATACAAAGAAGGATATTTAGAAGATAATTGATTTAATAAATATATTTGCAAATAAATAATTTAAATTAATGACAAACAAATAAACTTTAAAGGATCAGCTTCCTAAAATAAAATGTATTGAGCATGAGAGATAAATTGTTTAGATTGGTTTAGATTAAAATTTATTACCATCTTAAAGAGCATTATGTGAAATGTGTGGATAGAAGGCAATTTTGATACCAATATCGATAGATAGAGCAATAGTTATGCTTCGTATGATATAAAATGATGAAGACATCGTATAGGATAAAGTTTTACCATGTTTAATAGATTAATGCTTAAATGGAGGAGATCGAGCATTAACAGTGAAAGATATAATAACTATAGGAACAATTCTATCAAATAAATTTATAAAAATAGGGGATAATTTTGTTTTAAGATCAAAATATATAGCTAATAAAGATAGAACATAATTGGATACTTCTGAATCATTTTAAAATAGAAGAAAATAATTAAAAAAATAACATTAATTAATAGGGAATTCTTCGATAGTAATAAAAGAGAGTACGAAATATGAAGCAAAGACAGGGATAGAATGGATTAAGAATATAATAGAGACAGAGTAAAGTTCAAGTAGTTTTATTACTTCAAGCTTTAGTCCAATAATAAAAATTTGGTCAGGGGGAAAGTTTAAAGAGTTAAAATAAGAAAATTAATTTGTGAGATGTGTTACATTATTTGATGAAGAATTAATAGTTTGTTATGGAGATTAAAGTATTAGAATATGGAAATAAAAAGATGGAACTGAATGGACCGTTGGATAAACTTTAAAAGATTAACATTAAGGCGAAATATGGTCATTGGTTACACATTTTGAAACATTTATAACTGGAAGTTATGATAAAAGTTTAAAAGTGTTTAGTAAAAGAAGAAATAATAAATTACATTAAAATTATAAAAGTATTTAAATGGTAGATATAAGTGATTGTTAAGTCACTTGTATGGCTATACATGATGATATTTTAGGAATTGGAAGTAGATCAGGTGCACTTGTAATATGTCAATTTACAGACGCATGGAATTTAACATAAATAATATCAAAACATACAGCAGCTATTTAATGTGTAGCATTTAAACCTGATTAAAATTTATTAGCTACAGGATCTGATGATAAATCTATAATTTTATGGGAAATGAAATAAGGAGATTAATTTGAATTTTTATAAGAAATAAAGGATCATTAAAGTTATGTATTAAGTTTAGCATTTCATCCAACATATGCTGCATTTTTATCAGGAGGATTAGATAATAAAATGATATTATTTAGTTTAGATTCAAAAGGTAGATGGATTAAATATTAAGAGTTGAATAAAGATAATCCAATTACAGTTATTCAATTTCTTAAAGATAATTGGAGATTTTATATAGGTACTAGCGTTGGCACAATTATTTTAAATGAAATAGAACAGTAATAATAATGAATTTTCTTATTTGATAACATTTATTTCTCTTTATTTATAATTCATCATTCATTTCTTTTTTGTAATAAATATTGTTAAAAGAAGAAATCCTATTTAAGTGAGTTTTGTCAAAATAGAAATTAATGTTGTTGATGAATTTTTATAATCTTCAATTGATTTTTCATTTAATTTAAGATTAGTAATTAAATCTGAAGCAACTTTCTCAAATTCTGTACAATTAATTGATTTCTCTTTTAATTCTGTTTCACTAAAATAGTAATTATATTATATTTATCCTTATTTTACATTTATCTTTAATTTCCAATTTCCATCACCCTATTCAAATTATTACTACTTTAATTCTTCAAAATGTTAAACATAATTATTTTTATCTTGATCTTTCTTTTCAATTTAATCAGATTTCTATGTTGTATCTACATTATTCACTCTCTTTAAATCATATTTGTTTTTGTAATCTAAATCAGATAAAATCTAATCACATTCTCTAATTAAATTTTTACCTTAAAAGCTTCTTATACATTTGAATATTTTTCACTATTTGCTTTTTATGATTCTGGATGATATTTCTTTGCTAATTAATNAATTACATTAAAATTATAAAAGTATTTAAATGGTAGATATAAGTGATTGTTAAGTCACTTGTATGGCTATACATGATGATATTTTAGGAATTGGAAGTAGATCAGGTGCACTTGTAATATGTCAATTTACAGACGCATGGAATTTAACATAAATAATATCAAAACATACAGCAGCTATTTAATGTGTAGCATTTAAACCTGATTAAAATTTATTAGCTACAGGATCTGATGATAAATCTATAATTTTATGGGAAATGAAATAAGGAGATTAATTTGAATTTTTATAAGAAATAAAGGATCATTAAAGTTATGTATTAAGTTTAGCATTTCATCCAACATATGCTGCATTTTTATCAGGAGGATTAGATAATAAAATGATATTATTTAGTTTAGATTCAAAAGGTAGATGGATTAAATATTAAGAGTTGAATAAAGATAATCCAATTACAGTTATTCAATTTCTTAAAGATAATTGGAGATTTTATATAGGTACTAGCGTTGGCACAATTATTTTAAATGAAATAGAACAGTAATAATAATGAATTTTCTTATTTGATAACATTTATTTCTCTTTATTTATAATTCATCATTCATTTCTTTTTTGTAATAAATATTGTTAAAAGAAGAAATCCTATTTAAGTGAGTTTTGTCAAAATAGAAATTAATGTTGTTGATGAATTTTTATAATCTTCAATTGATTTTTCATTTAATTTAAGATTAGTAATTAAATCTGAAGCAACTTTCTCAAATTCTGTACAATTAATTGATTTCTCTTTTAATTCTGTTTCACTAAAATAGTAATTATATTATATTTATCCTTATTTTACATTTATCTTTAATTTCCAATTTCCATCACCCTATTCAAATTATTACTACTTTAATTCTTCAAAATGTTAAACATAATTATTTTTATCTTGATCTTTCTTTTCAATTTAATCAGATTTCTATGTTGTATCTACATTATTCACTCTCTTTAAATCATATTTGTTTTTGTAATCTAAATCAGATAAAATCTAATCACATTCTCTAATTAAATTTTTACCTTAAAAGCTTCTTATACATTTGAATATTTTTCACTATTTGCTTTTTATGATTCTGGATGATATTTCTTTGCTAATTAATAATAATGGATTCTTATTTGAGATTAATCAGCAGTTGAAGGAAGTTTTAATATTTTATAATAGTCTTTTGTATAATCTATCTTTGGTGAAACTCTTGAAAAAGTCTAGAGGGTTTTTTAAAACATTATTCTAATAATTTATTAATAATTGAAACAAAATATGGATAGCTAATAAGAATCTAGACTTGTTTCAGAATAAGGTTCACCAAAATTGAAACTAACAGCTAAATAAAGAGCATAAATAATTAAAGAATTTTTTGCTTCAAAAGGAAAATATCCAGTTTTTTCTAATAATTTAATTGATGAAGCTATTGGACTTAATTTTCTACCTTATGACAAGAAAGATAAAATTTTAAGAGATCCTAATAAATTATCTATATTTTAAATAGAATTGAACTTGAATTCTCCACGTACTAAAGAAGCATTATAATTGATGGATGTATAAGAAGATTGGTGTCATGTAATGTCATTTTTAGATTTTTAAAGTGATTTTGATCACCCAATTAAATGTTTGGTAGATTATATGGGATATTTGTAAGGAAAATCTAAAAAGCTGTTGCAAATAGTTTCTTTAAGAAATAGACTAAAAAAAATTAATAAAAATAATAGTGTGAATAATAATTTTAACACTAATACTACAATTACTTAATAAGCATCATCTGTTTTTATTACTGATTAAAGAAACTCTTAAATTTTATCAAAATCATTAAATACTAGAAGTTTGGATTTTTTATAATAATCATTTGATGATAAATTGGAACAAATTACTAAAAGAAATACATAGTATCTAAATACTCTTAAAAAGCATTAGTAATTAGATGAAGAGTAGAATTAAAAATTGCAACATTATTATTCATCCACAATTCCTAATATTGCTAGGAAAGTAGAAAAAGTTCAAGAAACGCATAGATAGTATAATTATTGTTGCTATTTTTAGAGAACTTAATTTAAAAAAGTAATCTTAAAAATAAAGATATAAAAAGACTTTGGAAAAAATAGAAAAATTAGATAAAGAAGATAAAGAACATAGATTATAGTTTTAAGAATAAATTAAACAAAAATTTGAATAATCTGAACTTAATAGAAACTAATTAAATTAATCTTATTAATTAGAATTATAAGAAAATATAGAAAAAAATAAAAAACGATAAGAAGAACGAGATGCTAAAAAATAAAGAGCGAAGGAAATAGAAGAATAGGAAGTAGAGGAAATTATAGAAAGAAATTTAGAAAAGACATAAATGGCTGAAAATTGTTTAAAAAAAATAAGGAACATAATGAAATAAAAAAAGATTGAATAACAAAAGAAGATTGAAATTGCTAATAAAAGAGTTGCTGAGATATAATAGGAAAAAGATTAATAAAGGTTATAATATTTTATTTAAATTGCTGATTCAAGTAATAAGATGGTAGAATCATAAATGTAAATAAGAGCAAAACGGCTAAATGACTTAAAATAAAAGTTTGAAAAATAATAATCAATCGTGCAGAAAAATAAAAAAAGAATACTTCATGAATTCAACTCTAAAATAGAAGAAATAAGATCATAAGAAGAATGTATCATCATTTTATAAGTAATTTTTAGAAAAACAAGAAGATTTAATTAATGAAAACAAAACTTTAACTTTGTTATCAGTTGATAGAATGAGAGAAACAGATGAAAAACAGAAGCTTAGAATGTAAAGAACAACAAGAATTAATTAATAGCATGAAGTATATATATTTTTAAAATAAATTTAAGCAATAATAGGAAAAATGGTTGTAAAAGATTATAAATGAGAAGCAAAAATTGAAGAAATTTAAATCATAATAAGAGATGTTTAAGGATACAATTATTAAATAACATTTAGAATTAAGAAACACAGTAGATAAATTGATAAAATGAGGCTGTTTTATTATGATAATTTTCTTATGCATTTTTAATAACAGCATTAAAGTTTAATAAAATTATTTTATTTTTTTGTACTTTTTGATAAAAATTAATAAGATTTATGTAATTATGCAAAAATTATTCATTATTCTTACAGTTTTTATTGTAAAGATTAACAATTACTTGTAAAATTATACAATGTATCATTCATTTTTTATCTTATTTATTTCATTTTATGATCTAATGATAATAATTAGTAATCATCATATATTTTATTAATGATAATCTAATTAATCTCTTCTATTGATTAAATCATCATTAATTTGTATTTAACGTCCCTAATTTGATATTGATATTACAATTAATAAAGTCAGGAGTTGATATAATTTGTAAGGCAATGGAATCATCAATATCTACAGTAATGAATTTTTTGTAATATCTAATAAGTTAATGTATGAATACAATTCTATAATTTCTTTATCATTAAATATTTTTTCTGAGATGGTGTAAGTTTTTTTGTGAAAAACAGGTTATTTTTTTTGTTTAGGGATCTGTATTCTGATAGGCATTCTAACTTATCTGATTAAGAGACATAAATCGTTATTCATAAATTAACGATAAAATAAATAGAGTTCTTAAAAATAATATAATTTAAATTTAATGAATAGAAACTTGAAATTAGGTAACAATATTAGTTATATCTAGTATAATGTTTAGAAGTTCTAAGAATGTATAATAAATGGTTCAAGTAAAGAGATAACAATATTTGTTGATACTTAAATACTTAGTTTAATAATAAATAAAGGGTCATTTATCAACGATAACTTCTTTGGCTATATAACCAAATAAAGATAATATAATATTAAGTGATGCAATAGATAATTAGATAAAACTATGGGATTCAAGATCAAAAATAATAATAATTTATATTAAGAGCATATTGTATGTGCTTTAGTAATATCTTCAGATAGTAAATTATTAGTATTAAATATTGACATTTAAATCGATTTAATTAAGTAATTATTATTTCTTTTATTAAGATACCTTCAACTAAACCAGATAATTAACCAGTATAATCAATTAGATTTTGCAATTAAGTTAAGTCAGTTATTTCAAGCGATTCTTTATTATTAGATAATAAAAAAAGTTAATGTAAAAATATTAGATACTTATACATTTGAAGATTGATATAAAAATAGAATAAATAGTGAAAAAATATAAAGTTTTTGAGATGTATTAAATTATTATGATCAATTAGGATATTATAATATATAATGTTTTAATTAAATTTGAAAAGTTGATTTAATAAGGGAAGAAAGAGTTTCAAAGTATGATAAAATAGTAAATAGATCAATTAATAATTGAAATATAAAAATTAAGAAAATTAATAGAAAAAAAGAAGGAAGATATAATAAGTGATTTGGCTAGAAAGTTTTAGATAGAAATATGTTTAAGTAATTAAAAAGAGTTAATTAATGATAATAATAATGATTATGATTTTTTGTAATATTATATTTCAGAAAAACTTAGTTTCTGGTTCTTTTTCGACAAATAAATCTCTAAATAAAATATATAATAAAATATATACCCTTCTCCTCCAAAGAATGGATAAGCACATGTAACAAGAATTGTGTTGTATAATAAATAAACAATAAGAGGAATTGCTGTGCTTTCTTCAATAACAGTAGCTAACATATCTCCTTGAACACATGATTGATATATTTTTCCCCTTTTTGATAATTTATCATCAACTATAATATTAATGAATATAAAATACCTTCATTATAGTATCTACTTTGTTTCAATGCTTACCCATTTATAATAGAATAACTCATTAAAAATAATATTATTATTGTATGTCCTAATAGAAATCCTGGTGTTCCTCTTTTTCCAAAGAAATATGCAAAAATAAATAATAGTATTGTATCAGTTATAGTAATAATGAATACCCAAAAAATAGATAATAAATGTTTATTATCAAAGTATCTATTTAATGTTAATGTATTTCTCTTTGCTATTTCTGCAGCTATTCCACTTTCATAAATATTTAAATCAAATATCCTTGATATTGATATAACTGAACCTACAGTCATTCCTTTAATAAGAAATGCTAATCCAATTCCAAATAGAATTCCAAAAATACCATTGAAATCAATCAATGGATTATTGTCAACTTTAAATAGATATAATGCACCACCAAGAAATGTAAATGCTAATAAAATAGCTGAACCAGCATTTGTTATTTTTAAGTATATCATATAATTTCTAGCTGCCCATGTCATTTTAGTAAATCTTTCAGATACTACTTAAGTTACATGCGATGCAACACATAACTTAGCTCCATCTTAAGAAAGTGATCCTATATAATACAATGGTGTTATTATTATAACATTTATTAAAAATCCAGCAGCAGCTGCTAATATTCCTGCATATCCTGCTAATGCATGTGATGCTGTTGCTATTATTCCTAATGTTAATACTATTATTATTTATCCACTTGCACTTAAAAATGTAGCATAATTAAGTGATTATGTTAATATTCTATCTGATGATGATAATGCCTCTTAATTAATCTATATATCATACCAAATTTCTAACTGGTTAACATCCATGTGATGTCATCCATTCTCCTATTGATAATAATACTAAATTGCTTAATTGACCCAATATACAACTATATGTTATCTTTTTTATTGTTATTTCTTCTTTTGCTAATGTTCCAGGTGCCTCTATTCCTTTTAATGAAAACTATTTTAATATTGTAACCATTGGCATAAAAAAGAAGATTATTAATGTCATCAAATGTGTTATCAATACTTATTATCTAATATTCACTTTTGTGAATCTTACTATTTCATTATCCCAAAACATGCTTTTCATTGTTTATACAATCACTGCACAAAAAACATTTACACAAAAATATAAAGTTGGAGCTAATAATGATTTCCATGTTATATTTTCTTTAGCTACTTCTTCTGAGTTTGAAAATATTAAAAATCCTCCAACTGTTAATACTGCTATACAAATAGCAGTATCCAATACATTTACTATTTATGTACTAATTACATTAGATATCACATATAATAATTTAGTTGGTGATGAAATATAAGGATTATTAAAACTTAGATTTCTATCACATTTAACTAAACCATCAATAGCATTGAATATACTTCTACCTAAAATACTTGTTGATTCTCTATAAATAAATGCACAAACAATAATTCCCAAAGCATATCCGCAACAACAGATACCCATTAATTACAATTTATCTTATGGTTTATTATCATAACTTAATCCTTATAAACTTCTAAATAAGAAGAATAAAATCAAGAAAATGAAATAAATAGATGCTATACACATAAGAACTACAGCAAATCCTATAGTGTACATAAAGTTATATAACTCCCATTTATTACTGATAGCAGTCGTTATAACTTTGCATATTGATCGACCTGCAAATGTATATGCTGTCCATGCAATAATTGTAATAGATGCAAATCCAAAAAATAAACCAACTATAAATCCAGCTTTAGTTCCAACAGGAATGAACCATATCTACATAAAATATATGTATATTAATACAGTAGCTATCAAGAACAAAATCAATAAAATCAAGGCATAAATCAATTAGGTAAAGAACATTCCTATTATTGTATTTGATATTTGAATGCATCCATCAGCCAATTCACTTGCGTAGTTATGCCTTACCTATTATTATTTGATTGAATACTTCATATTATCTCACTATTTCTTAGGTCTCACATATTAATTCAAATTATTTTGCTAAATATTATGGTTCATCATCTCTCTCTTTTAATTCACAACAATATGCCATTATACACCATATTAATGCTAATATAGATGCAAGAATTATTAAAATTATAGGCCAATCTGCCATCAAATCTATTCCAACTGCCCCTGCTGTAAAAAGCAATCCAAGTCCTATAGCACCGCATAGATATTTCACACACGTAGCTAATGGACCTAGACACATTCCTAATATGTCACCGACACACATTTATATTAAAAACGAATTAATTATAATCTTATTTTCTATAAAATATTCAAATTCATCGTATATTGTTCTCTTTAAAAAGCTCCCCCATGATTTCTCTATCTTATTGTAATAAGGCAAACAATTATTCATAACCATTTCCCTACTTTATAAAACAAACAAATTACATCACCGTTTGTGCCACCAAATAAATTAACTTAACCATTTTAATCGCTATTCACATTATTTTCCTCTTCTTCTGAAGTAACTGGTTCTAATTCTGTTTATAATTATTATTATTATTATTATAGCTATTGTTATTATTATTATTATTATTATTGTTGTTGTTATTATTATTATTATTATTATTATTGTTATTATTATTATTATTATTATTATTATTGTTATTATTATTATTGTTATTATTATTATTATTATAGTTGTTATTATTATTATTATTATTACTATTATTACTACTACTATTATGATTACTATTGTTATTAGACTATTTATTATTATTATTACTATTATTTATTTATTTTTTATTCACTTATCTTACTTTCAGCCCATTTACAAAGTTCTTTAGACTATAAATTAAATTAAATTAATAAATACCTTTGCTAAATTCCTTACAGTATCATATTATAAAGGATTAAAACTACTTAACATCACTGCTGCGGCTTACTATTTAATAGTAATTACAAAACATAATTTTGATATCAAATTTCCCCAATATTTAATTATGCCTGAATCTTTTCTTTAATAGTGTGTTTCAGAAACAAACTCTTGCAATTTGAAATTTGCAAATAATTACGAATTTTACAATTAATCATAATGCATTAAATATACAACAGTACAAAAGGAATCACCAAATGGGAATGAGATAAATTATTAGTCTTTTCTTAATATTTCACTAACTTTTTAAATATCTCCTAAATCATTAAATTTTTCTGGAACTACCCAACCAGCTAAAATGATTTAAATATTTTTATTGACAGATTTTTCCATTTATAATAAAGCTGCATCTTATTAATAATATTTTTAGTGTTTAAATTCACTTGAAATCTTAGGAAATTCTTTTAATTTATTATCTAAAGCATTAGTATAGAATTCACATGTAATCTAGTATTCTTTTAAATTAAATCTATATCTCTTACCAATCTTAAGAATTTTATCTCCAAAGCTAAGTGGAGTAACCTATAAATGAAATAAAAAATTTACTTCAATCTTTTAAACAACAACTTTTTACTCTGGTTCATCATCATCAGGATTATATAAAATAGGTTTGTTTGGATTTTCTATTTTCAAAATTTCTAATTCAGGTAAATCTGATGACATTGATTCATTGATTCCTTTGCTAACTGATCTACTTGGAGAAAGCAATGATTTTTAAGATTATTATTATTATTAATGTTATGATTATAATGATTATTATGATTAGAATGACTATTGTGATTAAAATTAAGAAGTTTATTTATTCTATTCTTAATGATACAAGGTATCTAATATTTATGATTATTATTATGATTATTGTTTTTATTATTATTATTATTATTATTATTATTATTATTATTATTATTATTATTATTATTATGGTATCTATTGTACTGATAATTATTATTATTTAAGAATTTATGATGTTTATATTTATTAAAGGGGTTTTGTTTGAGATTATATTTATTAAGATTAAATAGGCTGTTACTGTTATAATTTGATATTTGGATAAGAATCATTTAAAATTTAATTAAGAACGTCTTCTTTAGTTAATTTTGTGTTAGTTTAATTTGATTAAACTTATTTAGCAATAGGTTAAGCATTTTTCTAATTAACTGGTTAAATTGCAACAATTTTATTTTTATTAGGAGCTAAAGGATTATAATCTAATTATTATTATGAAGATGATGCATGAGGTCTTTATATTAACTTTTCTTCAGTCTAATTTAAAGTTTTGCTTTCATATTTTTTAACTGCATAATTAACCTATTCAATATTAAATCCTTTTTCAACAATTCTTCTTGAGAAATTAGGTAATTGTTGTAATTCCTTAAAAGTTGATATAAGTGCTGTCATTTTTTCCAGATACACTAAATTATAATATAAAAATTATACTTTATTTATTATTATTAAAAGTTCCAAATTCTTAATTTTCGAAAATCTTAATTCTGTTTTCATAAAAAGCAGAATTTTTCAAAGTTGATAATGTAGGATTACGTAAAACAGCTTATAATAATTCTTTTTTTTTAGTATCTCTTAATTATTAAGTAACAGTCTCATTAGTTTAAGGTTTCTTATTTTTTCTAATACTAACAAATTCAATATTTTATTCAACATTATCTTTATCTTCTCTTTGTTGATTTTTTTTTCTAATTTATTATTATTTAGATTTTCTATCAAAGTATGAATTAATATCATCAAATGGTTTTTTAGGTTATAATTCTCTTAATCTTTCTAATTTATCATGTTAAGTAATATGTTATAATTCAATTTATAATTAAGAAGCATCAACTTTTCCATCAACACAAGAATCTAAACATGAACCACTTGCAACTGAATCTATTAATTTTGTCATAATTTATTCTAAATATGTTAATGGAACTTTCATTTTTTCAATTGATAACTTTTAATTATTCATTAAAGCTTAATCAATAATATCATATCCTTAATTTAACATATTTCTAAATGATGCAAATCCCCATTTTTATTAAGGATTTTCTTTAAATTAATTTACTTATTTAATCCAAATTGCTACTTTAACTCTTTCATATTAATCACCCCATCTAAATATACTAAGTAAATCATGAAAATCATTGAAAGCTTATTCAGTTTATAAATTATTCTCTATAAATTCTAATTTTTTATTAAATTCTGAATATTCTCTTATGAAATGATCAGCATCAGGATATAAAATAATTATGTCTTTATATTTCTTTTAAAAATTGTTCATTAAATCTGTCAATTCTTTACCATTTGGATTCGCTTTTTATTTTGAAATTGTTTATCTTAAAGTTGAATAACTTTATTTTAATTATTCAAATGAATTTAACCAAGATTATACTAATTACTTTTCTTCTGGCAATGGTAAATTTTATAATTTTTCTAAAATGTTTTAAACTACAACTTCTTTAGTTTTAATTTGAGACTAACTAATCTCTCTTATTTCGTTTTATATTTAGAGACATTCATGATATCTTATTTCTACATCTTATGATCTTTCTATATTAATATTTTTTATTTTATCAATATCTTTTAAAGACTACTCCAATTCTTCAAAAGTATAATTTTAATTAGTTTTAATCTTATTGGCGATATTTTAAATTTTATCTGCAATATTTAATAAATTATTTAATTCTATAATTTCATCTGGCACTTATAAATTACGAGATTATAATAATAACATTAAACTTGTGTATTACTTTTTGACTTTTTATAAATCAACTGTTTTATTTCCTTTTAATATTTCTTTCAATTTTAATAAATATATATTAATCTTTAAATCGTCCATCAATTATTAATCTTGAATAAACGATTAAATTAATTTTTAATATAATGATGTAAGTGCAGATATATCTTCACTTGAACATTTATTAAATTCTTCTTAGATTTAATGAATATAATAATAATCCTAATAAAAATCCTTTGATATAAAATCATGTGCCATATTTGTTGACATAATTTCTTAATCCAATAATCTGGCTTCAGCTATTAAAAAACTTTATTTAAACTTTTATAAATCTTATTTAGATCTTCTCTTTTCCAAAAATATCTATTTTCTAGCATTATAATCTTTAATTTTATCAACTAATACATTAAAACATGCTATTTTTTAAAGTAAACTTACACAAATTAATGATTATTTTGGAATATGTGACATTACAATTACATCTTATAATAATTTTAAACTTTCATAAGTAAATTCTGGAGTTGTTGTAATTTCAAAATATTTCCTTACAATAGTAACCCAAACATTATATATTTTAACTTAATCCCAAATTCCACCTTTTACAGAAAGTGTTATTTAACCATAAAGGATAAACCAACCATCTAAATCTTAAGGAGAAGGTACTTAAAATAGGTAATTCCCTACTTAAGATCCTAAGGCAATCACTATTTTTTATTAATTTGTAAACATTTCCTAAAATACTATTAAATTTGCTTATTCATTTTCTTCTAATGTAAAAGTCTTTAGTAGAACTTAATCAATCAAAGTTAATTGTATTTCTTATTTTGATTACCATAAAGATAATAATAATTTAGCCTATTTTTCCCAAAGAAAATGCTAATAATTATTGAAAACAGTATTTATTCGTTTATCAAGAATTATTTATTATTTACTTAATATGTTGTCTAATTCTAATATGATATTTTCATTATCATCTTTAAATAGAATCTAAAAAGGATTAATTACTTAATTTATTTTAAATTATAAATCTGGATTTTTATCATCTTCGATTTCCATTTCCTAATCTGGAGATTTATATTTTTAATAAAATTCATATAATTATTATATAAATTAGCAAGCTTTATTCAGACTCTATAATAATTATTTCTCTTCATAAATTATTTTACTTTAAGAGATATCTTAGAGTAATAATTTAGCATAATCTAATTATTCTGTTTCAAATATTTCGTTTTCTAATAAAGTTTTAATTTCTTTTTTCTTTTATAAACATTTAGTAATTTCTTATTCAAATTAATTAATAATTTTTTCATCAAAATTAAGTTATTTAGATTTTTCATACGCTTATTCTAATTATTAAAGTGTTTAAGATTTAGCCATTCTAATTTTTTCAACTTCTTAAAATTATTCTAATCTCTTTTAAAGTTCCTATATTTCAGGAACATCATAAATTTTATTCATTTATAATTCAGCTTAAAATTTCTTTCTCATTTATTCATTTAAACTCTTCTATTCTATCATATTTCTTAATTTTTATCTAAATTCGTTTAATTATTTTTCTACTTATTCCAATAAAAGCTTATCTTTATCAGAAGCATTAATTTCAATAGATAATTATTTTAACATTTAAAGATGTTCACATGTAATTTTAATTTAAATATCTTTTGTAACTTAAATTTCACTATCATCTTCATCTTTTTCCTACAATTCTAAATCTTACATGTATCTTTCATACATTTAATATTTAGAAACAAATTCATATAAATTTCGAAAATCTTTATAATAAAATGGTAATTCTTCCAATTTATTTAATAATAATTATGTTTCATCAATTGATTTAGCATTTTCTAATTATTAAATAACCATTTTTCCTTCTTATAATTCAGCTTTTAATAAATCAATCCATGGAACAGAGATTAATAATGCATTTAATTCTTCTATAGTTTTTTCTACATATTCTTAACTTAATTTAATTTAATTCAATTTAATTCTAGTTTGAGAGGTTAGACTATAAAATTATTAATAATTTTTAATTTAAGTAATTGAATAACCTAAATAATTCTATAATTTTTAATAATCTTCTAATTCATCATCTATATCATCTTCATCTTCAGAAGAATCTTATACATCTTCATTTATAATTTATTCAAAATCATAGAACTAATCTTCGGCTTCTTATAATTTATTTAAAAATCTTTTTTTAATTTTTTTATACTCATTGAGTTAAGATTATAAATATATGAATTCTTAAAATTCATTTGATTTGTATTAATTTTATATTGTTTATTTAGTTATTTTTGTTTTAGATGTAATAATTTGAAATGCTGATTATAAATTATTCAATTTATTTAATAAATGAATATAGTAATTACATTCATCAAAATCTTTAAATAAATTAATAACTTAATTTAGTTTTTCTTTCAATACATTATTATGTTGTATATTCTATTAAATGATTTGATTAGAGTCATCTAATTATGACAGAATAATCCATTAATTGTTATCTTTATATGGTATTTATTATTTAAAAAGGAAATTCATAAAATCTGTAACATTAGATTTTTGTTTAATTTATTATAAATGCTATTATAAGGGTTAATAAAATGGTAGATTACTTAAGATTGTTTCAATGATTGTATATTCAGATTCTGAATCTAAAAAAATAATAAAGATTAAAATTTACATTTTGAAATCTGTGTTACTAAACTTCTTTCACAATAAATACCCAAAATAATAAGAGAATTAAAAGTCATTTTTAAGAATGGTGGTAATATTAATTAAATTTAATTAACAGGCTTATATTTAAGTATATGATCGAATTTAGCATTGCTCCATTAATTACAAAATGGACAAAAATAATGATCTTTATTTTTTTATTCTTCATAATCATCTTAATATTGACGTAAACATTTATCATGATACCATTCCATACATGTTTCACATTAAACCATTTCTTCAGAATCATTTGCTTATTATTATTAACAACAACAATACATTTATTAATTTTAATGAGTAGAACAAAAGAATTAAATTAATTAACTAAGATAATAATAATAAATAAAATACTCTTTTTCTTCTTCTATTTTATCCTATTATTAATATAAATCATAAAATGAATCAATATTAATTTATCTATCAACATTCTGAATATCCATAAATGATTATAGAATAGATTAAGATTTGATTTTTAATTAAGTTTTATCATTACCTGCTTAAATTAGAATACCAGGACAGAATAATTATTTATAATTAAATTAAATTTCCCATCCTGCTAATCTTTGTTGGTTTTCAGAATATGTCAAATTATAACCACCAAAACTTACTATATAATTAACCATACAATAAATATGTGCATAATTATTACATTCACATTATTAACATTTAATAGTAGCTCCTTAAGTTTTGCAATATGAACATGTCTATTTAGGTATTTAAATAATATTGATTGGTTTTTTGAATTTCATTTCCATAAATGAAGTTAATTCAAGTTATTTTGATAACAATCCACAAAGAGGATGTACAAATTCATTTGTATCATTTATTCTTTTTTTTAATCCACCTTTTTAATTACATACTATGCATATTTAATCTTATTTTTGACAATATTTGCATTTATCACAAGCAAAATATCCTTAATTGTTAGAATTAGGATTCAACTCTATTTCAGTCTAAATACCATAACAATATAAATGACAACTCAATTAACAACCATAACATGATATTATAGTCATTCCTTACATATATATTATTTATTATCTTTACCTCTTTCTTATTATTAATATCTGCTTTCGAATCCAACTGCACAAATATCACAAGCTTAACTCTAAATCATTTTTAATATATTTTTACTTGTAAATCTCTTGATATTGTTAACTTTTTTGGTCTAAATCCAATATCTTTCTTATTTAATTGGTTATAAACTAAAGATAAAATAGGAATTAAAATTAATATATAATGGTATATATAGCGAACAAATGCATTATTTATAACACACCTACTGAAAGATCTTATTGCTCATTTTCTTCGTTCTCCATTTTCTAACTCTAATTTGCTTAAAATGTTTAAAAAAAATAATTAAATTATTTATATCGAGAAATCCTTTCAAATATTTATATTATATATAAATTATTTATTCCTTTATACCTTTTAATCTCTCCACTCCAATTTAACTATTTCCTCTTTTATTTATATTCCATTTTACTACCTAATCTCATCTCTCATATTCATACAAATTATCTTTAATCTAATTATTTCTTAATATAATTTTCTTTTTTATTTTAAATATATAAATTATCGTTAATGATTCCCTCTAAAATTATCAAAAGATAAGAATCACTTACTTCTAATCCAATCCAAGATTCTCCTTCACTCTAAAAGGTACAAAGTAATCTTATGTTGGTATCCAAAGCAAGTAGTTTACCAAAATAGTTTTAGAAGAATGAAAAATTAAAAACTACAGGAACTAAAATAGAATCTATTAAACATTCTAAAAATAACTCTATGAATCATTTATCTACATATGAAAATACTAAAACTATAGATTCTATTCAAAATGTCTCATCTCTATATATTAACAATAAAACTGAAGAAATCTAACTTAGAAATGAAATACAATTAAAGGCTTAAATCATTGTAGATTTGAATAAAAATATTTCTTAATTATAATCCTAAAATATAAACTATTAAATGATGATTTCATAATTGGAAAAAGACGTTTAATAATTAAATTAAACAATTGAAAAAATGTGTGAATAATTATCAAGTTCTAATAATGATTTTGATCTTGAAATAAAAAGTTTATAAGATTAAATTACAAAAAAAGATAAATTAATTTCATTTTACAAAGCTGAAAATTAATAATTATTATGCATTATTAAATAAGGATCCTATTCTAAAAAAAAAGAAGGCAAAGAAAATCATCCTATTAGTGCATAACCAAATTAATAAGATTAAATAAATTATTTAAAAGATTAAATAGATCTACAAAGAAAATAATTTATATAAACTGAAGACTCTTTATAAAAACAAATATCAGGTTTGAATTAATTTGTGAATGAATTTTTTCAATAATAATCATCTGATAGATTAAATTATAATATAAGCAATAGAATTGATAAAGATCCTAGAAATAGAAAACTTTCATTATAAAATGATATGGATTAATTCTAATCTTAATTAAAGCATATTGATCAATAAAAACAACAATTAGATAGTTAATTTGATAGTGTTTAATGCAATCTTGATTAATTGAATGAAAGATAATTAAATTGTCTTCTTACTGATAATCTAAATGTTCAAAATATTAAAGAAATCAATAAATTAAAATAAGTTGTTCAAATTTAAAAAAAATAAATTGAATTATAACAAAAGACAATATTAAATCAACACTTTGAAATATAAAATTTATAAACATTACTTTATAAAAATGATTAAGATAGTATTACTAAAATAAGTGATAATAAAGCACTTTAAGTAGGAATTATTACAAATGATTTTACAAATTCTCCAAGAGATGAAATGTAAAAGTTTGTTCTAAATATTTTAGTTATCATTTAAATGAGAGTCAAAGTGAAATAAAGCCTAAATATTATATGGATAGTATATAAAATACATTTTAAAAGTTTTAAGTGATAACTGAAGAAAGCACTTTTAGAAATTGAATAATATACCTATATAGTTTTTATATTTAATAATACAGAAATGTGTATTAAATTTGAATTAATTAAAATAATATAAATCTATTAGAAGAAATGGATTAACAAAATAATAAGATAATATTGACAGGTGATTAATCTAATAAACTAAAAGAATTGTAATAAAAGGTATAAGTAGAAGCACCAAAATTATTAAGAGATGATTTAATATAAAAATATTAAAATGAAGATCATTTAGTGAGATTATTGATAGCAAGAGAATGGAAAGTGAATGATGGATTTGAATAATGGAAAAGATGGGTTGAATGGAGAAAACAATATAGAGCTGATGATATCAAGATTCAAGAAATTTAATCAGAAATAGATTTAAGAAAAGCATTTTGGAATGGAGTTGATAAATTAGGTAATCCATGTTTGGTTGTAAAAGCAAAGAGACATTTTCCTGGTTAAAGTAATCCTGATACTTTAATCAGATATTTTTTATATATGATTGATTAAGGTATTCAGAAAGCAGATTTAGCTGGAACAGGTAGAATTAGTGTAATATGGGACAGAGAAGGTGTTACAACAAAGAATTTTGATACATCTATGTTTTCAATAATGAAAAAAATGGTTACTTTAGTATAAGATAATTATGCAGAAAGATTACATTAAGCATTTATACTCTATCCAAATTTCATAGTTAAATCTGTTATGGCTGTTGTTAAACCATTTCTTAGTGAAAAAACTAAATCGAAAATAATATTATGTAATACAATGAAGGAATTACAAGTTTATTTTAGTGAAAATTATAAAATATCTGATGGACTAGTTGATGAAGATGTTGAATAAATTTAATAAGACATTACTGAAGAAGAAAAAAAGAAACTAGAGTAAATGATAGCAGAAGAATAATTATTATAATCATAATGATATTATTAATAATATATGTAAATTAACACATATTTAATATAATCTTTATAATTAAAATATATTAATACAATTTTCACAAGATTTCTTTATAGATGGAATTAAATGTGAAATATAAAAATAATAATATTAAAATTTGATTAATAGTATATTATAAACAATTATTATCAAACTAGAAAGTATCCTTTTCTTCTTATTGGTGGTGATGGTATATTAGGAGATTTTTCTTAAGAAGCAATCCATTATTGGATATTATTGAATTATTCAATAGTTCTGGTTATAATTTTATTAAATTTAATTCCCTCATATTTATTATAAAGACCTTCATATCTTGGTGAATTGTTAAAACCATTTTTATCACTGGCCAATGCTATATATTAATACATTTCCAATTTTCTATTAGGAGTCATATGACTTATCAAGACTTTATCTTTAATTAAACCAAGACTTTAATGAGGATTTGAAATTATCAATTTTGATGGTTCATGATTTTCATTAGACAAAAATTAAGAATTAAATTTTCTCTCAGTTTATCTAATATTTAAATTTGCTTCATCTTTAACAAGTTTAATATCTGGTATTTTTTTTTGAAACTACTTTTCAACATAATATTTTTATTATATATTATCAGATTTTTAAGGGAATACAATTTCATAACATTCATCATCTGATGATACTTATTCAATATCAACAATTAAATGATCTTTATTAATTTTATTAGATAAACTTCCTTATTCTAATCTACTTAAAGCTAATAAACGAACTCTAGAATTTTCATCCTAATAAAATATTAGATTTTACTTCACAATTTCCATTAATCATTCTATCATGAAAAAGTTTTGCTTTTTCAATTTATCCAACATAAAAATAATATTTTCCTAATAATTCATAAGCAAGTAATTCATCATTTTTTTATTTAAGTTTCCAAGCAGACATCAAATATTTAGTAAAATATAATTAACTTAATTTTGGATAAATTCTTAAAAGACACTCACCTAAACCTCTATAAGCTTTCATTTTATTACTATAATGTCCTTCAGTATCTGATAATCTTTTACAAATTTTATAATAGATAGCTCCTTATATAGGATTATAAAATAATTATTCAATTTTTCCAAAAATATAAAGGATTCTTTAATGTATACAAATATTTTTTGATTTAAAACATTCAAGTAATATATCTTTCATTGATTATTCACATTCATTTCTATTAAATTTAAAAGCTAATAAACCAGTTAAATTTTATATAAGTTATTCCATACTTAACCATGCTTCAGTTAAGTATCTAGAAACTTTTTATTCAGCCATAGAGTCATCATAGTCTTATGATTCTCTAATAGCTTTAATATCTTCATTATATTATTAAATGATATATTAGGTCATTTTGTAAATTCGAGATTATTTTTTTAAGGTTTAAGGATTTGTTTATAAAGCTTAAGGAGCCTTATATACATTAAAGAAATCACTTTATCTTGTACATTTCTTTGTTAAACGTTATCCAATCTATCTTTTAGATTTAGTTTGTTTCATTTTCAATTCTGGTAAATTAGCAAGAGGACTTTATTGATTTATATCTGTTCTATCTGTTTAAGATTAACGTTATTCTCTTTATGTAAGAGCTCTATTCATAGATAATTAAGTCTTTGATAATGTTGTTCTTGATATCCCTAAACTATCTTAAGTATAATCTTAAGAAAACTTTATATTTTTCATTAATTATTTATTATACAAATCATAATCCTATTATTTAATTCATCTTCCATCATTCTATCTATCAAAGTTTCTACAAATTTTTAATCTAAATTTATTAAATGACCTTACAAAAAATTTGGAGTACTTAATATTTACAATCCTTAAAATCTAGGTAACTTTGGTACTACAAATGCAAAATAATAATATGTATGTCCAATTAATGCTCCTATTAAATTAGATTATATTGATCTTCCTGATATTATATTCAAGAATATAAAAAACCAAACCATATATTGAGCTTTTATTGGTATTACAAACATAACTATTTAAACACAATTACTTACATAATAAAGGTCTTTCTTAATTTTATCTTCCCCAAACATACATCAAAGCTTCCATAAAGTATTCTGTTAATGAATGTTCATTCAACCATAATCCAATCAAAGTTATTGTTATGAAATTTAATAACAAATAGTATAAGTAATTTGCAAATCCTCTAAAAGTATGTAATTCTAAAGAAGATGAAATTGATTGACTATTTCTCACTATTCAATATTTACAAAAAAAATAAACGCAATATTGTTATTAAATCTAAATCCCCAAAATATAATATGCTCGTTAATGCTCTCCATGGCTAATCTTTGATATTTTGCTATTTACTTAAAATTAATCTGAAAAGGCTAATTTAAAATTTAAATATAGGTTTGAGGGTTTCAAATACTAAACATATGTTGCATAACTCAATAACACACTACTTATTATGATTACTCTTGTTAAAGGGGGAATATCTAATATATTTTGTAAAACCATTCTAGATTATTTCAATATTAATATTCGTATATAAATTATCAAAATAACAGACAACTCAAAAGAATTTATTTCATTTTCTAGAATATATATTATTTATTTGTAAAACTAATACTTACTCTCCTTCTAAATTCCAATCATATAATTCTCTATTTCTATTATTTTAAATTATATACAATTTATTTCCATCATTTTTGATTTGTATCTTTAATTTTTATAAACAAATCACTTAATACTCAAAGTTCTATAATTTTAAGAAAATTAAATAACTATAACATAAAAATAGAATTTGTAAAGAAATACATTTATAATCAATTTTTAAGGTTTGCTTCTTTTAATTTATCAATTTTTATCAATACAAATAAAGATTTGAGAGTTATCTTTAGTAAAAATTTTTTTAGGTATGATATATTCTGATAGAAATTCAATTATAAATTTCATTTAGAAATAAAATTTATAAATTGCATAGAAATTTATATAATTTTTAACTTTTAATATTCAAAATGAAATCTACTTTGAGTTGCTAATTATTTTGCATATTCTTTTCTCTTTTTAGTTAAGTTTCTATATTTTATATTTACTATTTTGAATAAATACTATACTCATAAATAGAAACATGAATTACATTTTATTGATGTTAGCGTAAATTCTAAATTTACTTGCAATCACTTAAATTTTGTATTCTTTGTATATATATTATGTAATTATTCTGTTAAGAAAATATGTGTAAAATAACTTTTATCTAAAATTTCTATGTCTTTGGTTTGTTTACCCTTAAAAGTATAGAAATTACGTCTCCTATGATCATCTCATAAAATAAAATAAGCTGCAAGTAATAATTGTAATTTTTGTAATTTTTAAATAATCCATGATTATGAGTACTAATATCAAAACTTTGAATTGAAAGCGGAAAGACGAAAAAGTATATAAATATTACTTAATCAAATAGTTATAACATTGAGCTGATAGAAATTAAAGAGAACTTCACTATATATATATTTTTTATATTATCATAAATGATCAGTAAAAATGGGAAATTTATTATTTGATTATGCTTTCATGAATAGAAACTAACTATAAATAGATTCTAACCAGTTTTTTTTTTGTTCTAATTATTTGTTGTATTTATAAAATAATAGATAACTAATGTTTTGTTAACACTTTAGTTTAAAAAAAATTTAAATAGGGTAACATTTAACAATTGATTGGTATGAAGGAAATACAAAGGAGACAATGATAAAGGAAGAAATGAGGAATGGCTGGGAAAATGAAATTATTTAAAATAATGATCTTCATATAATAACAATAGAAATAATCGCTTTTAAGGTACTAAATTGTTAAATAAGTATGAGCTAATGATAAATTAAAAGTAAATAAGAGAATATTAGGCCTCAATATGAAATGTAAAGAGTACTTTAAAAAATAAATGAAAAAGAATGACATAATATAAGGAAAGATCGTATAACAATCGATAGTTAAATTAAATTTGAAGTTTGTAAGAAACTAGAAATGGAATTTTACCATTTTGAAGAAACTTGACATAGAAAGATTAAATAAAAGTATTTTTTATAAGTTTATAGTCAAAAGTGGATTGATTTTAATTAAAGTAATTAATTACATTAAATCATAAAGTAAATGAAAAGATTGATATTTTTAATGTGTGGTAAATGGTATGGAAATGTTGAAAATTGTGTTCAAAGTGTTCAAAAATAAATGTTAAGTATATATTGAGAGTTAAGGGAGTGCAAATATTTATAAATTTAAAAAGTTGTTACAACTAATTTAATAAAAAAATAAAAATTATTATTATATTCATATATTTATAGCATTAACATTATTGAATCAAGAATTAACTCTTGGTATTACAAAACCATTATATGTTTAGTATAGGTTATGTTAAATTGGGAATGGATATTAAGTTTAATTAGGGGAAAGAGGTTCATGCTCTTGTTTTACATTGATTTATTGTTTAACTTCTAGAAGTTGCTTTATTATTAATTACGATGCCAAAAATAAATTCTGGATAGTACTTTAATAATATGGATTCTAGTTTTCCATGGCTTTTTAGAATTATTAAGATAATATGATATAAAGTTTCTAGCATTACGATTGAAGAAGAGAACGTTACTCTTTAGCTAGATTAATTTAATCTTCTTTTGAAGGTTGCTTATCTATATAAATCTATATATTTATATTTAAATTTACTTGACTAACTTCAGATGATACAATAGGCTCTGATAGTTAAAAGGTAAATGGATTCATAATTGAAATTTTGAGAATATTCTCAACCTTTAGCTTCTTTTTCCTTGTTTCCTTCTTCCCTATACGACCATCTTTCTCGTAAGCCTTTTAAATTGTGCGAACAGTACAGTATTTTAGTTTAAGTCTATTAGCTACCTATATATTAAATAATGTTTAAAATATCATATATATTAGTTGGAGATATTCAATATTTTAGCAAAATTTGATACCTCTTAAAGGGAAAGTTTGTCATTAATAAGCAGTTTTAGTACTACTCTTCTTTCTTCTTTGTTTATTTTTTAGTATTTCCTTGTTTATTTTTATTATTCATCAGCGTCCTCTGATTTAGTCATGACCAAAGAATCTTAATTTATTATATTTATAAAACAAAATTTTAAAAATATTGCTTATTAATTTAAATTAAGATTCATTTTTTATATTTTTTATATATGCTAATTAGCATTATTTTTACAAATTATTAAAAAATGATTTATAATCATCTCATCAATCTATGTATAAGAAATAACTTATGAATTTGCAAATCTGTGAATATAAATATAAATTAATGTAACTGTAAAACATTTCACTTTTCACCAAAATTTCTAAATAACTCATAACACGATATTTAATTTATTATATATATATCTGATGCTATCTTCTTTAATATCATTGTATTAATAGAAATATCCCAGCATATCAATATAAAAAATATAACAGACATTCTAAAACATTGAATTTTTTTAGTATTTTAGACAATGTGTTCAATTTGGTCTACGAACTCAAAAATAGGTTCAGCAATTCTGTTAAAAAGATATTAGCGAAGGATTTTTAATTTAAACAATAATGGGATTGATTTTCTATACTCTTAAATCAACATCTTTTATTTTGAGTAAAAATTCCAACAGGTAAATTATATTCATATAATTACTAATTTTTTGAAATAAGGAGAATGATCAAGTGATTTTTGAAACAGATATGATATTTTCCCCAAATTAATAATCAATTATGGAAAATAATTAATGCTTATGATTCATAACTTAATTTTTTAAATGTTAGATATATTTTGAATAAGGTTTGAGAATGATTTGATTTTAGCTTTATTATGAATAAAGATTCAGTTTATATCAAAAAAAGATAATGAAAAGTAAAAGATACTTAATAATCTAAATTTAGTACATTGAGGAATATATTTTAGATACAAAGTATAATTGAGTAAATATTGAAACTAATGAATCTAGTAAGCTATAATTATATACAAATGACATGGAAAAACAAATAAAAATGTAAAAGTTCGTGTATGCAATTTTGAAGAATTTATGGTTGAATTTGTATTAATTTAGTATTAATAAATAATATTGTTAAAATGAATGAATGATATTAGTTTTTGATATAGCATGATCATTCTATTTTTTTCATCATGATGAAAAATTCTTCAATTGAGATTTATCCATCAGAATTGGAATCAAATTCTTAAACCAATTATTTCCACATATCTTCTGAGATACCACTAAATATTTCTTTCAATTCATTTACACTAATCAAACCACTTTTATCCTATATGATAGAATATTTTACTTTATCGAACATTCTAAAAGTCATTTAAAGTCTCTATTTAGAAAGTAATTATTATCTATCAATAGTGGCAATAACAAATTCTAAATTTATTGATAACAGAAGATACCAGTATAATCAATGGATCCAGAATTATTTTTATCAACTTATTAAAATATCCTATTAACTTCTTCTACAGCTTCTATAGGTTTCATAATCTTTGAGTATCCAGCCAATAATTCTTCTTTACTTAATTTACCATCTTAATTAGTATCTAAACATTAAAATGTTTTTAATAATTCTGCTTTCTCATCTTTAGTAGCTAATTGATTCACAATAAATTTAAAAACAGCTTCTTATAATTTTTGTTGAGCAGTGAATTTTTTCATATTAGTCAATACTTTAGTCATAAGTGGTTTATCGAATTCAAGTGGATTGTTATACTTTTTAATCCAAGGATCTAATAAGGCTTGGTGAGCACTCAATCTTTTACCTAAAAAAACTATAAGACTTCACTACTTGGATCTAATTATAACAGTTTTTTTATGAAATCTTTAGCTTCTTTAGATACATCTTCCCATTCTTATTTTTCAAATGAATATACTCCTTTTGAAACTTTCTCCATAATTTTATCTTCAGTTTTTCCATCAAATGGAGGATATCTTAATATTTTTATTATAATTGTTTTACCCACATAAAAGAATATATAAAATTACACCACAAGACCAAATATCACATTTTTCATCATATTTTTTCTTCAACACTTCAGGTGCAATATAATATGGAGTTCCTAATTTTTAATTCAATTTCTAATTTGGAGTAAATTCCTTTGAAGTACCAAAATCAATAATTTTAAGTTAAGAATTATTCTTTTCTGATTCATATAACAGATTCTCAGGTTTAAGATCTCTATTATAATATAATAATTTAAATTACCTATGAACAATCTTTTCATCATGACAATAATTAACTGCAGATAATATTTGTCTCATTATTTCAGCTGCTTTCTTTTCAGAAAAACTACCTTCTGATTTAATTTTATCAAATAATTCTCCTCCAGTACATAATTCTGTTACGATATAGAAGAATCTGTCATCTTAATAAAATTCATATATCTTTATAATATTCGGATGATCCTTTGTTATTACATATTAATCATACTAATTTTTACAGCATTTTAACTTCATTCATTAATCTTTCTTATTCTTCTTTACTTGTTTATGATTTATGAATTATTTTAACAGCTTTCAAAAGATTAGTACTTTTATGAATTGCTTTTCTTACTTCTCCATAAGCCCCTTTATTTAAAATCAATAAATGTATATACCACTTCCCAAAGGAGGATTCAAAAGTGTATAATCTTTTGTGATTCTACCCAACTTCTCACTTGTTATTATTAATTGTCCAATGTCTTATTATACTATATTTCAAATTTCATTCATACTATCATTTGTTTGATATTTTTAAGGTATTCTATCATCTACATCTTATTAGTTCTACTAGTTCTTAGAAACTGAATTATTTTAAGGTCGCTTTCCTGAACAAGCACCCATAAGTTATTATAATTAAATTAATAGGAACTTGTACTCAAATCAAGAATAAAGTTTTTTATTCACTAAAAATTTCCAAATATTGATTTTATACTTTTCTATTCCCACCCAGATATTAATTGTCATTTAAATAAAAAAATTGGATTCTTGCAAAATTACTTAGAGAAAAATTAACCAAATCCTTCAATCAAAAATTATTCTAACTCTTAATTTTTGCAGAATCCCAAATAAAGAACAAGATCGAATTCCCAATTATTTCCATTATGTTTACTAATAATCATTAAAGTTATTTAATCAATTTGAAATTCTTTTAGACATAATTATGTTGTTTCTAATATAAATATAAGACTTCAATAGAAATGTTACTATGTTTTAACTATCTTAAATTAGAAATTTTAACTGTTGAAAAATTTTTGAGTTTAGTAACATTTTCTAATCAGAAATCAATTATTGTATCAAAAGTATATAGTAATATATGGCTATTTCTGGGATGTGTATTGCATGATTAAGTTTCTCTACTATTTTCTTAAAAATGTATTTGAAAAAAAGTACAATCTTGAATTAGATTATTTTTTTCTCTCAATTATGTCTGAATAATCAATTATTCAACACATAACTAAAACTGTAGATAACACAATAAAGTGGTAAAAAAGATTAAACACATTTTGATGATTATGTTAATTGATTTATTAATATTTTACAAATATCTAGATTTTAAAATATTTTACTTTTCTATTATTTTAGTTGATAAAAAAAAAATCTATAATTTTAGAATACTTCTTTATTATTTTTAGAAATCATATATAAAAGGGATACTTTAGGTATGCTATATAAATATGAATACAAGAAGAATTAAATTCATCATAATTTATTACTTGAAGCCAAATTTTAATTTTCTTTATAGATTAAAAGTATCTTGTTTTTTATTCAGATTTTTCGATTAACTGAATAAACAATTTTAATGTAATTAGTTTTCTATTCTTTTATTTGAACCTTTGGTCTTCTTTTGTGTTATAAATTATAAGAATAAGAAAATATAGAGGTAATTATGAAATAATAATGAATATCGGTTGAAATTTGATTATGATTAATAAATGTTAAAGATGTTTATGGGACAATAAATTAAAAAAAATGCTTCTATGTATAAGATGTTTTGAAAATAAAAAATGATTTAGATAAGAGAGATATTACATAATGATGATAGATGTATATCTATTTTATTAATTTTTATTTAAATAAAAAAATTAATGAGTTAAACAAATGCATAATAGCAATTTGAGGCATAAATGTAGTCATCTCAAGGATTTAAGCAAGAAAAGCCTATGTAAAAATAAATTTTAGGATCTATATAGGAATGAATAAATAGAAGAATTGATGGATCACCTAGACCATGAACATGATAGTGAAGATGAAGGAATGGAAGATTATAAGATAGGAGGTGAGTTATAGTGTTAATAATATAGGATATCATCCAGTTCATATAGGAGAAGTGTTACTAAATCGATATGTGGTTATATAAAAGTTAGGATGGGGACACTTTTCTACTGTGTGGTTAGCAAAAGATTTTAAATATGATACTTATGTTGCTCTAAAGATTTAGAAGAGTGCATCTCACTATTTAGAAGCTGCATATGATGAAGTAATAAAGTTCAATTAATAATAGGTGGAAATTTTATAAAAAGTTGCATAGAATGTCTAGAATCCAGTGTGGATTTAATCTTTGAAGGATTATTATGCAGATGTAATAGTTTATTTGATGTTAATTAACAGCAAGGAAGAACTTCTTTTAATAGAGATGATACTCACACTGTTTAATTATTGAATTCTTTTGTATACAAAGGACCATATGGTCATCATTTTTGCATGGTTTTTGAAATATTAGGAGTCAATCTCTTAGAAATTATTAAACGATTTGAATATAAAGGAGTAATAATATATTTATATATTTATTAGTGTCCTATGGATATTGCAAGAAGAATGGCTAAATAAATTTTAATTGGATTAGATTATTTACATAGAATATGTGGAGTTATACATACAGATTTAAAACCTGAAAATGTTCTATTGTGTTTATCTGATGAAGAAATTAAAGATATAGTTGAAAATGGATAATTAACATCAAATTAACTCTTTTCAGATAGGATTCATATTTATAGATAAATGTTAGGAATTGTAGAAGACAAACCTACCTTTGAAGAAAAATAAACTACTACTTAGAAATAAGATGAAGAAGATTTAGATACATAATCCACTAATTTATCAAAGACTCAAAAAAGAAAACTATTAAGAAAGAAGAAATAGTAATAATAATAATAATAGTAATAATCATAATCGTAATCATAATCAAATGATTATATGAATGAAGATAAAGAATAAATATAATCAGAATAGCCTAAATCAATAAAAGAATTATTTTAACAATAGAAAAAGTAAATATCCAATTATATTTTAGAATTTCATTTACATAACAAAAGAAATTGCCTGATAATTTTCGTTTGAAAATTGCTGATCTTGGCAATGCTTGTTGGATTCATCATCATTTCTCAACTTTAATTTAAACAAGATAATATCGATCCCCTGAAGTTTTATTAGGAATCAAATATAATCCCACTGCAGATATTTGGAGTTTTGCTTGCATGATATTTGAAATGCTAACAGGAGATTATTTATTTGAACCTAGATAAGGCCCAAATTTTTCAAAAAATGAAGATCATTTGGCCCAAATTTAAGAATTATTAGGCAAATTTCCTTTTGAATACAGTACCAGAGGAGCAAAAGCTAAGGTAGTTTAAATATTATAATATTATTTTAGAGATACTTTACTAACAATGGGCAAATGAAAAGAATTCCATAATTACATTTTTGGAGTTTATTTAATGTTTTAACAGAGAAATATAGATTTAAATAAGAAGAAGCTTTATCATTTGCTTCATTTATGATGCCAATGTTACATTAATTACCAGAATATAGAACAACTGCAGAAGAGGTGTTAAAAAGGGAATTATGTTCTAATAATTAAGATGAATGTTAGAGAAAAGCTTAATTAAAGAAATATATAGATTAGATATTTTAATTTTAGAATTTTCGAAATCATATTCCGAATTCAGGTTGGTTAAACTGTAAAACGGACTTATAGAATGGACATAAAATGAATGAAGAGGAATATAAGAAATATAATAAATAAAAGAAGGCAAATGAAGATGTAGAATAATTTGATTAGAACATTGATGGAATTCAACCAAAATTATTATAAAATTATAGAAGAGTATATAGAATGTGTTATTGATTAGGCATCAACTAGATCTTATGATGGATCAAACTCATAAACTCCTTAGTAGGACAAAGTGATTAGAAAAGAAGGGAAATATGTAGATCATAGGGTGATTGACAGATCGTTTACAGATTTAGGATATATAGGATATGGAGATGGAATAGACTTAGAATAATTAGACAGTACAGGTAACTGGTAGTTTAGTTGAATTATTGTACATGTTAAGTATGTAATATTCTTGAATGATTTTATAATGTAATGGTTATTTCATTGATTGTGATGACCTTCGAATGCTCTGATATTATGGGCAGTATTGATCACAAAGTTGGATGTGTCAATCACATATCCTTTTGTAGCTGCTTCAAATAATTCAGGATGATGAACTATTCCTTCCTATTTGAAATTTATAATTGAAATACTTTCATGAAATAAATTACTTCGTCTTAAACTGTTGTACCTAATTCTTATATATGATCAAGTTGACATGCTAATTCATACTTTAATTATCCTTCTTCTGTCAAATAGTCTGCATTATCACGATCATCAAATTATGTTAAATCAGCTGTTAATGGATGGAATTAATAGGTTTCTACCCAATAAGTGTTTTTGTCATTAGCAAGAGTATTAGTTTCAATCTTTAATACTTTACCACCTCTAAGTAAAGAGAGTCTTTGTATTTTATATTACAAAGATCTCCAATACCTATGAAAAATGGAAATATTCAATACCACATTCTTGGAATCCACAAAAATGAAGGCGCATAAATAAAAAGGTTATTCCAATACCATGCAATGTCTAATGGATTCTTAAACCAAAGATAAATGGACAATGGAATGGCTGTCTCATAGAGTACATATGGATATTTAAGGAAAATAGTAAGATGCTTATGAGGATCACAAGAGTAACTAATTATTACTAACTTAGTTACAGTAACACTTCTCCAATTCTATCAAACTCTATAGTATAAGTTGGTTTGTAAATTCGATCAGTTTTCACAACATAAGAGGATTCATCATTCATAACTTAAGCTTTATGTGCCACTGTAGCATTGTGGAAATTTTTAATGTGGTTGAGTTGATAGAGATTCTTCAAGCCCAACCTTAAAGTGTTTATTGATCTGGTGAGCATTAATTAAAGATATTATTAATTATGTTTAAGTTTAGTGATAAGAGAATGGAATATGAAGAATAAATGCTAGAAGAAAATTCAGATGATCTCCCTCCTAATGTTAAGTATCAAAGAATCAATAGATATAACTACATTGTCTAAATTAAAGGTGAAAAAGGCAGTGTTCATGAGGGTAATTTTTTTAAATCCACATAAGATGCTTATATTATTGCAGATGTTAGTTTAAGTGGCTTTCCAGTTGATGCTCCAACTGTCAATTTTCGTAATAATTTTTAACATGTGAACATATTCCCTATGGGCAAGTTATGTTTGTACTTAATTAATAAAGAAACTTGGATTTCTAGCACTAGTTTGATAGACATCTTTTCAGGAATTAACCAAGTTATTCATCAGTATTCAATAGAATTATTAATTTTAGTCCTACTTTCAATGATCCTGCTAATAGCACTTATAAAGATCCATAAATTTATGAAAGGGATATGAAAGAATAAGCTAGAAGATTTAGAAATGAGACATATAAAATAATATGAAATTAAATCGTTTTTGATTTGTGTCGTTTTTTAGTTAATAAATAAATGAAAGGAATCATTGCTATCATTCTTGCATTGGCTGTGGTCTCAAATGCCACAAGCACAAAAGATTAAATCTTGGCTTTACTTTAAACAGGAACAAAGGCCAGTGATGCCATTGACACAGTGTTTGGATTGCTTAACGACTTAAAGTAATCAAACATCGATGCTCAATTCGCAGCAGACCAAAAGAACGAAACAGATGAATGGGTTGGTGCTTAAACCATAGAATAATTCAGTAAGATAAAAGCCTTGAACCAAAAATTGTTCCAATAAGCTGTAGAAAACAGAGTTGAGTATGAAAACGTTCTTTAATAAACCAAAAACTATTTGGCATGGAATGAAGCTAGAAGAGACTCAATAGCTGCTAAAATTGAAACACTTTCAGACAATTAATGCTTCTCAAACTAATTGTTTGTTAAGTCTATAAAACACAACTAAGAAGCTTTGGAAGTGATTAGACTCCTTAAATAAGATGTTGCTGGATACATCGTAAATGGAGATTCTTTTGAATTCACTTAAGTCTAAGCTTAATCAGTAGCTGAGAAATTGAAACAATATAGCAACTTATTCTAAGAACATTAAATCAAATCCTTCTTGGCACTTGCTTAAGAAGAATAAGTATATATTTAATAAATATATTAATTAGGCTTCAGAATCATCTGGACATGGATAAACATTAGCAGAAAGAGTTTTGGGTGTTTTGGAAGGTTTAGAATCTGAATTAGAAGCATCATTAGAAAATTTGAAATAAAATGAAATAAATGCTTCATGGGAATTAGCAGGTTGGGTATCATTATCTGAAGCTGAAATTGCTTCATTAGAAGTTGAATATGAAAGAAAATAAGTATTTGCTGATAGAACTGCCACTGTAATATTTATAATCTGAATATGTTTAGTAAATCTAAGCTTCTTTTGCTTAATAAGCCAAATCAAAGATTATATTATAAGAATCTCAAGATGCTTTAGATTAAGCTTAAGCTGATTTAGAAGCCAAGAGAGCTGATTATGCAGAAGCAAAAGCCAAGAGACAAGAAGAGAATGCCATCTTGGATGAAGTAATCATCATGTTCAAGAAATAAGTTGCTTCATGGTCTGGAAGATGATATTCTTTTTAAAAACAAAATTAGTCAATCACAACAACATCACTAATATTATAGTTCTTAATTCTTTTGTGTTTTAGTAAGAGTAGGTTTCTATAATTATTTACTCTATTAATTAAAGATGTTTTAATAAACAACTTCATCTTCATCATCATCTTCCATATAATCATCTCCTTCATACATTATAGTTTAAGAATTTGTAAACCTATTCTTTAACTCTATATTTTACATATGACTTTTTGGATTGTAAGTAATAACTTAATCACTATCCTCATCTGTTTCTTAATATCTTTTTTAATGAGATGTTTTCTATATCAACTTCTCCCAGCCTTAATTTAATGAGCTTAACAATTGTTCTTTCGTAGACAATTTATTCTCTCCTTAACTCTCTTTTACTACTCCTCCAGGAATACTCTCTTTTGTATCAATATCTATTGCTAATTTCTTTGGCTATTATTATTATTATAGTTATTATTATTGAAATTAATCTGATTGTTCCTTTTTTTATATTGAACTATTTGATGATGATCCAGAAAGTATATCTAACTACTTTTGTTTCACTTCTTGAACATTTATCTATTATTATTTCGATGATGCTATTGGTTTTAATAGGTCTTCCATTATTCTCTATTTATCTTCTTTACTCATTTATTAATTTGATTATTTTTTCATCATCATCTCCTTCTCTTCTGCATACAAATCTTATAATGGTTGATGCATTGGTTATTGATTTTAATAATGAGAGTTTATTTAAGCCATATTCCAATCAACATACTACTATTCTATTTATGATTTCCTATTTTATAACATCTTTTCATATTCCAAAATAGCTTACTTGTCTAAGTCCTTCCTTGAAATACAAAAATTATCAAAAAATTATAATTCCACTTCATTTTATTGTGATTCCAATTATTTTATTTATTCATCGCTAAAATTTACTGATAGCAATTTTCGTAAAAATTAATTTTATGTCTCCAATTCAATTTATTATGCCTATATTTCTTGCCATTATTGTTCCTCCTATATTGTATGTTCCTCAATAACCTTAATCATTTAAGTATATTTTTCTCTTATCTATTAAATACATTCATTTTTTTTTGCAATTTCAGCATCTTTTATTCGTAATTTCAATTATAAATGTTCTATACTATTTAAGTGATCTTAACATGTTTATTGTTTCAATTTCTTAATCATCTTCGCCATTTTCTTTATTAGATACATGCATTCCTTATTGTTTTCATACAGAATCTTATTATCTTAACAAAATTAATCAATTTTCTCTTTCTATTATTCAATCATCATAATATCAGATGGTCTTATTGGAATTGGGGCGACCTCTTTAGATTTCCTTTATTCTTATTTCTTTGTAATATAAACAGCTCTTCTTTGTTTAGGGATTTGTCTTTAAGTTGTGGAATCATCGTACTTAAGTGATTCCTCAGTTATTTATTCTTTTGAATTTTATTTATCTATTTCTGATTATCTATCTATTTTCTAAGATTGTGATTCACATTGTCTCACTTATTGGAGCTGAATAAAAAATTGTTTAATGAGTTCATATTTTTAAATAAAGGCAGGTTGTTAAGGGTATTCGAATAACATAATTTAATTTAAAATTTAATTAATTAGTATGATAAAATTAAATTGAATCAAGTTTTTTGTAATTATAAGGCATATAACTATAAACCCTATGAATCAGTGTATATTTTTTATGAATTTAAATCAGCATCATTATAATTACAGGATTCATTTTAACAAAAATGACAATTTGGTCTTTAAAATTCAAAGGCACAAATATGACATATGTAATTTGCACAACAAGACGATGACAAGATGACTAAAATTTTAGATATATCATATTTACAATTAAAATATCGAAAACATATTGGACATGAAAATAGTGTAATTTTTGTAAGAGTCTCACTAAAAATTAGATCCTTAAGTGGATGTAATGTTTTAATCTTTTTAGACTTATCTTGATAAAAACCATCCAATAATGACATTGAATAGAATATTGGATCCTTTTTATTGGATTTCCAATATTCAAATATTGTGGTTGTTAAAATATATGTGTTGAGTGTTGTTTTAGGTTCTTAGATGTCTGACTAAGTTCCACAACAAAAATATTTTTAAAAAAAAGAAACCTTTTTGTTTATAGCCATTTTGGTAGTAAAAATAAATTAAAATGATTTTTAATGGTAATCAATTAGCTAATTAAATATTGTAAACTCTTCGTATAAGTTCAAAAATAAAGCCAAAATTAGGAATTTGTTTAGTAGGAGATTCACCTGCATCGAAATCTTATGTGAATAGAAAATTAAAAGCATGTTAGGAAATAAATGTTGATGCAGAAGTATTTAATTTTAAAGAGAATGTCGGATAGGATTAATTGATAAAACACATAAAATAAATGGATCATGATGGGATATTAGTGTAAGTATTTTAAATAATTAAAATATTGATAGTTACCATTACCATAACATCTAAACAAATTGGACATAATACATTCAATTCCATATGAGAAAGATGTAGATTGTTTACATATGCATAATTTATAAAGAATTTTAGTATATGGTGAATTATGTGAGATGTTACCATGCACTCCAGCAGCAGTGTTATAGATTTTGGATTATTATGATATAAATGTGGTTGGAAAGAGAGTAACAATGATAGGTCGAAGTTTTTTGGTTGGATTACCTTTATCTTTGCTGTTATAAAAAAGGAATGCAACAGTGACTGTATGTCATAGAGAAACATAAAAGTTAGATGAACATATAATGAATGCAGATATAGTAATAAGTGCTGCTGGATAACCAAAACTCGTAAGAAATGTTAAATAAGGAGCTATAGTAATTGATGTAGGGATTTCATAAGGTGAAAAGAAAGGTAAGATAGTAGGAGATGTAGATTTTGATATTGTGAAACATTAAGCATCAATTATAACTCCAGTTCCAGGAGGAGTAGGTCCAATGACAGTTTGTATGTTGATGAGAAATTTGTGCAATATTTGGAAAAAAAAATTAGGTTAGCCTGTTTATATCAATCCAAAATTGAGTGAAGCCTATTTGAATGATTGATTAAAATTAATATGAGTAAAATTGATAAAATTTAAAGTTGATTGCATATTATAATTATATGCAAATACAATTCAAACTAATCTTATAGAGAAATCAAATCCAACTTAAAAGTATTCTATAAATTTATTCAATTATTTACTAAAGTTGTTAGTAATAATTTAGTTATGCATTTAAATAATTATTTTAATATATACAAATTATAAATATAAAGAATTACTTTTAGATCATTAATTGTGAAATTTTAATGATTAGATAATAAAAGAAAATTGTTGTGGAAAAGATACACTGTATAAATTAATATATAATTGAAAAAGAAATAAATATTATGGAGGTATACAAACATACTAAACAATTAATGTTGATAAATATCATTATGATATTTGGGATAGAAGAGAAAATATAATACCATAAAAAAAGATAAATATCAAATTAAAGTCAAGAAGATAATACAATTGAATATAAATTCATTAGTAAGATAAAATATTCTTTCATGTCAATATAATAAAGAAATATTACAGTTGGATATGCTTTAGATCCAACTTTTTATGGGATGGATTAAAAGATATATTCTTGTAAGATAAAGTTACTATTAGAATTCATAATTATTATTATTATACTAGATCACTATGTATTCCTTAATAAATTAATACAATGATTTATAAGTAGGAGTATCATATAGAGCAATTTCTCAAAAAGATGATGAATGGCATCAAGGGAAAATTGAAAATATCGATGGATTCTTCTTATTTGGAGGAGTTGAATTTATTCCTAAAAATGATGAATAAAGATATATATTGTTCAAATGATTACAGAAGAAATGTAAAACTTATTTGACTGCAGGATACTTCGACAAAATAGTTAATTTCTATATAAAAAAAGAATAGTTTATTGAATTAGAGTCTAATAATCTTAAATAAAAAACTGATGTAATTTTTATTTTATTTGGTTTAATAATCCTTTTTAAAAGAACTAATTAAAAAATTATAATAACGATAATGATTATTTTTTATCTAATTATTAGGTTTTCTACTATATTTAGAAAATTCCAAAATTTTGAACTATAACAAATAAATTATCATGAATTTATGATTCTAGAATAAAATCTTAAAGTTCTATAAAAAGAATCTTCTAGAATTTAATACAATCTCATTTAAATTATAAAATTAATTATGCTAATACAATTATTAAATAATGGATTGGACTGGATTACTTGCTTGGTCTATTGATTAAAAGAAAGGAGAGAAATTTGATACTTCAATAAAGCCTATGGATGAAGAAACTAAGAAATGGTTATGTGAAGCATTGTAAAGCTATTCTGTTGATGAATTTTAAATGATAAAAGATTTGTTAGACAAAATAGCTAAACCAGAATAAGAAGATGAAGAACAACAAAGATTGGAATGGTTTGAATAATTAATGGAATTATTAGATGCATTGGATAGGGCAAATGATTTTTGCAAAATAGGTGGGCTAAGTTTAATGTTCAACTATTTTCAAACAAGTAAGTTTGATTCCATCAAATTATAAATTTTAAAGATAATTTAAAATTGCAATCAAAATAATGCCTTTGTTTAAGAGTTCTGTGGTTAAAATAATTATCTTTAACTGTTACTTCAAATAGAAAAAATATAAAATTTAAAATTAAAAGAACAACTTGTTAGTGCCTTATCAAGTATGATAAGAGGTGAATGTTTAAAAAATAAAAGAAAGTTTATTGATATGAATGGATTAAATATTTTATTAAATCATTTAGATTCCAATAGATGTATTGAAAAAATTGCTAATTTATTTAGAGATCTTTTATATTATGATGATCAATTGCATAAAACTTATCATGACTTATCTAAATTTTCAAATACTGCAGGATAATCAATTAAATAATAAGATAAAAAGAATTATAATCTGACAACTGATATTAATGATGAACTATTAAAATCTAATGAATTACCTGAAAATAAAAAGTATAAAGGCATTATCAAAAAAATATTGATAGATTTGAAATTTCTCAATTATGCAAATAAATTCATATTTGATACTTCTATTAAAACCTCTGATCTAAGAATACAATTTTTGTAATGCTCTGTAATATTACTAAAATTTTAAGATGATGAAGAATTTAAAAAAATAATTAAAATTCATTTTGAAAATTTAATCAAAGAATAGGATAAGGATGAAGGAGAGATAAATTTATGTAAATAAATTTTGTGATATATTTTTTTATTAATTTTTGTTAATTAAATATTTAATGGATTTTAGCACTATCATAAATTATGAATTTCTCAAAAGAACAAAAAAAACATTCATTCTATATACATTTGGTTTGGTTTGAAGATTACTTTATGAGTGATATCTATTTCGAACTATAATGAATTAAAAACTTTTCTTGATACAAGATTCAAAGAAAATTTAAGATCTGTTTCTATAGAATTAATAAGTATAACATAATAATCAATTTTATCTAACAAAAAAAGAACATATTTAGTGAATTATTAATTTTTAAAGTACTCAAATTTGATGAAACTCTAAAAAAACTGAACCTTACTAATAACTTAATATTTAAGAATATAACAATTAAAAAGTAACTAACAATAAAACTATTGATAGTTTTTTTGTAAGGAATAAATGGCAAAATGATATTTTAATTTCTAGTTAGCAGACTTAATTAAGTGATGAGATAATGAGTAAGGTAATCTGAAATTTAAATAGAATTACTAAATTTGTTAAGAAATTAAGCTATTAATTTATATAAATTTTTCTTCTTGTTTTTTTATTAAAATTTTAATGAAAGCATGTAAAATGTCAGTAATCTAAGTGAAAGTTTAAAAACAAGCTGGATTATTTTTTTTTAATACTTTTCAAATTTAATGCTTTTAATTGCTTTTTCTCTTCGTTGTAATTGATTTTATTAGACAGATAAGACCTTATTCAAAAAAATCAAGGAATTCAATGAAATTTATTTATATTTTGCTGCTGCTTTGTTTTGATTATTAATTAGTATTATAATGTAATTTATCCTTTTAATTATTATAATGTAGAGTTTTAAAATTCTAATTTTGTTTCCAAAAGTGGGAGCTTAGACTAAATGATAACTGTTGTTGCTTTTCTAAAGTTGAATAAGATAAAATTTAGAGCTAGAAATGAGTATTTCTTCATCAGTTAAATATTATAAATAGACATTGTGGATATGGTACCAATACAACTAATAAAAACCATTCAGAATAATTTATGAGATAAAAACAAGAAAAAAGACAAATAAATTTAAGCTAACTAGCAATATATTTAGAATTAAATTATAAACAGTACATAATTTCTAATCTTTAGAATCTCAGATTAAACAAAACATTAGCTATAAATAATTAAGTATAAGCTATCTATTTTATTTTCTCATCGACTCTTATTTAATCTTGTTAAAATATTTAGTTTTTTAAAAACAAAAGTTGATTAAGAATTTTAGCGGCTTCAAATAATAGGAAGGAAGTAATTATGATTAATACATTATTGTTGGAGATTCCTTGTGGAAAGATATGATGTTGAAATAATAATAAAATCATTGCCATTTTGGACTCAAATGAGGATTATTCTTTTTTTGTAATAAATTTATCAATAATAAAAACAAAGAAATAACTCTATATATATAAATGGCAACAATCTATCATCTTAAACAATAAGACCTTAATAATCTACATCATGTTTTAATATTAGAGTAGTTTTATTAAGCATAGGAAAGTCAGGAATAATATAATTAAAATTTTATCTTATTTTTAAGATAATATTACTGCTTGGAATAAAAAAATTTGATTTCTTATTTACTATGCATTCATATGTTATCTTTAGTGATTTATTTGAAGATTTTAAAGTAAGTAAAATATTTAATCATAAAAATTCTTAAATTATTCATGAATCAAAAATTATAATTAATAACAAATTTAATTATGAGATTCTATTATATTCATCAAATAAACTTTTATACTAATAGGAATAGTAAAATTTTATATTTATTTTCTTATTTCTGGATGTATTAAAAAAGTCTTAATTTTTTTTGAAATGAAAAATTGATAAGCTAATTTGTGTTTTAAAAAATTAGTTAAAGTTTAGAATTTAATGTATATATCACTATAATTGATTAAATGAAAGACAACAATTTATCAACTATATAATGCAGTTTTATCTATAATCTATTGATAAATGAGTTGATAGATATGTTTTATAGATAAAAAGTAGATGCAAAAAAATAGAAAACCGAGGAATTATAAACTATATGTATCTTGTAATTAAAAAAATAAATAAAGTCAATGTAATAACCTAGCTTATAAATGAACTAATCAATGAAATAAAAATTAAATTCGAAGTTTATTAGCATTCACGAAACTTCTGTAGGTTTAAAAATAGTGGTAAATAGTTTTAATGAATGTAGGATCCTGATAGTAGAATGATTTAAGTATTTCTGTTTGGGAACAATTCCATTTTAATGGACTGGAATTGTTTTTTTGAGGAATTAAATGCTGGACTTGAAAAAAATCTAAATTTCATCATTGAATATGAGGAAACTAAGTATTTTATTTTTGGGAATGCGGATGATTTATTATGTATATATAAATTCTGTGCTGGAAAGTATATTTTTAAGAAGGGAACATCTCATAAAACACTTGAAATACTAAAAGAAAAACATGATTATCAAGTAAATTAGGAATTAATATTTACTAGTTGAAATCAATATTCGACTAGAGTAGACAAAAATAATACTATGAACATGTTATATATCCATAAATGAATAATAATTTAGACATGTCATTCTACTCTGAGGTTACATATGATAGAGAGAAATATGTTCCTGAAGAAATTTAAATTATAAAAGACTTACATATAACATCTATACCTTAATTCATACAAGTAGATGCTTTGTACCAAGATGGAGCAGAATATTCTTACATTTATACAAATAAAGATTTAATAAAATTATCTCTATATTATAATAACACTCAATTAGATAACCCTTGTTTTATGTCTCACATAGCACACTAATTAGTATTATGTAAAAAATTACAATATAAAACTCAATAGTATTAATAGCTTTGGATGAAAAAGGAATCATTCACCCAGGTCTAGATTTAAAAAATCTTTATATTAATCCAAATTCTTAAGATATTGTTTTGGCTTCTTATTACTAAGCCTATTATTAATTAAATAATGAAGATAGACGATTGTAAACATTCATTATTAATAATTTAGATGTGTAAACATTGGATATTCTCCTCCTGAATATTTTAAACTTAATTCGAAACTCACTACTAAAACTAATATATATCAAGCTGGAATTTCACTCTATCAATTGTATATATTTTCAATCTAATATTAGATTAATTGGATACAATCCTTTTGGTAAAACTTAAAAAGAAATGTCACTCAATCATCCAAAAAATGATCTTGATTTAAAAAGACTTAATGCATTTGATTCTATTTTGAGTGATTTCATTTCATAATTATTAGAATAAGATCCACAAAAACGACCATAGCCTTCAGAATTACTTCAACATAAACTATTTTCAATTTCTCATAAAGAATATCTATCTAAATAAACTATATAAAAACAATACCATTAAGATATTGAAGAATTCATCATTTTTGGTAAGAATTCAAATATTTAAACTGTCAAACCAACCATAAAATTCAAAAAAAGATTATGAGATTATGATTTAATTAAGATGATAAACTATTTTATCTTTATTTTTTACTGTGATTCAAGTTCATTCAACTATATATCTCTTTTTTATATTTTATCAAATTTTCAGTACTAATTAAATAAATGATATTAAATAATATTTTAGACAATAAAGCTAAGCTAATTCTAATCGTCTGTCTCTGAAACACCATCAATAAATATCAAAATGTTTCAAGAACTCACTTGACCATTATTAATTTTATTATAATAAATTACTTCATTAAAAATAAAAGAATGCTTAAAAATCAAAAATTTCTTAATTTAAAAGCTCACCAAAACAATAAATAATTTTATGATATTTAAAAAGGTCTGTAGAAGCTTATATATTCTATTTTTTCATACTTACCAAATATCAAATAGCCGAAACTATTCTTTATCAATATGATAATGAGGTTAATCAAGAAAATAAAATATTTGTAAAGATTTCATTTTCAGGTATTTTTTTATTTTATTTTTTTTTTATTTTTTCAATTTTTGTTTTAGAGTAAACTGATCAGCCAAAATTGTATTATACAAAGAAAATTTGGAGCTTTACAATATTTTTTGACTTAAATCCCACTTTTTTGAATCTCTCAAAGATTAGTGATAGAGTTATGAAAAGATTAGAATAAATCCTTAAAATCTCTAATAATTAATTATAATTATTTTTCAAATCTTAATACCGATATTATTAAGTTTAAGATCACTGTTTGATAAAATGTTAAACAATAATTACTGATATATAATATCATAATACTAGTTTATAAATTTTATCACAAAATAGATGATTATTTTGCTACTTCTATTAAAGTTTAAATTTTTACCTTAATTATTTTTTTTTATTTATGCATTAATTTAAAATTTTAAACTGAAAACCACATTTAGTTTAACAAATTGATGATAAAAGGAATGCGTTATAAATAAACGAATTCATAAGCTTGCTATAATTAAATTGGATACATAATGATTTAGTATTCAATGAATTTTGGAATTTAAAATTAGCTCAATTCAAGCTTCTAAGTAATTTTTTATAAATATTTTAAAAATTACATAATTATTCTTCAATTTTTTTGATGTATAATGGTTGGATTATATGATGTTGCAATGTTGTTTTTTCTTTTTAAAATAAAACAATTTTTGTTTTCTATTAATTGGTTAGATTTAATTATATTTGGAAACTTGAGTTTTTAATTCTTATTATATGTTAAATAAAAGGGTTTTAAAGATAAAAAATAAAATAAAAGTTTTGATTTGTTTTTGGTATTTATTATATTGTTATTAAATTTATATATTAAATGCAACAATTTAGAGAGAGTGAGAATAATAGTGAAAATTTAAATGAGGAAGATAAGTAATGTAATAAATAGTATAACAAAAGCAGTTCGATAAATTAACATGTACCATAGTTTCCTCCTAAAAAAGCTCCGTCATTTTCAATAGAAGGACCATAAATTCTAGGGCTACTATTATAATTCAGACATTCTTAAGGGAATGCAAGAAGAGAATTAGAATGTTAGTTAATAAAAAGATTAGTTAATATAAAAAAGAATTATGAACCAGATTTTTATAGATTAAATGGAAGTTGGGCATGGAAATACACAAATTATTTATATGAAAATTCAAATACATTACCTGGTCCAATAGATAATACAAGTTTATTACAAATAAAAGAGCCAATTCGTAATCGTGATTATTTTGTATTGACAGATACAGTTTGGAGATTTTTAGTAGAAGAATATGGTGGAGGTCCTGAAATATTGGAAGATAAAATACCACTTTCTCCAGTTTCAAATATATCATCAACTATTGATAGAGCAAAATCAGCTGATATAAGTATATAATCTAGTATTTCATAATATGAGTATCCATCCGAAATTCCATTAAAAGGATTAAAGAATGAATTATTCTATTGTTATATGCATTCAATTCTTTAATGTTTAATGGGCATTTAAGAATTTAATCATTTTATATTAAACAGTATTAATAGACATAATGAATAGAAAATGTTATATTGTAGAGGATATAAAGACATGTTATTGTAAATACGTGAAACATAAAGTGATTATATAAAAATTAATACTTTAAGAACAACAATAAGTAAAAAGTTTAATCCAAAATAATAACATGATGCATAAGAGTTTCTTTTATATTTAATAACAATGATGGAAGATGAAATATTAGAATTAAATAAAGAATGTGAATAAAAATAGCAACCTAAAATTGAAAATATTATAAAGAAGTATCTAAAAGGATAAATATTAAGTGAATTAATATGTAGAAATTGTAAACATAAGTCACCAATTTCAGAAGAGTTTCTGACTTTATCATTAGCACTGACAAAAGTTACTACTGTAAATTAATCATTAGAAGACTTTTTCAAAGATGAAATAATTTAAGATTATTAATGTGATAATTGTCATAAGAAAAAAACAGCAGTCAAAAAAACAAAGATTACAAATTTACCTAGATATCTTATATTACATTTAAAGAGATTTAAGTTTTTTCCAAAATCTACTAAAATCACATAATAAATTAAATTTTCAATTGAATCAAATTTCTGCAATACAGAATATAAATTAATTGGAGTAATAGTTCATTCTGGATCATTAGAATAAGGACATTATTATTCATATGGAAGAAGATAAAATAAATGGTGGTTATTTAATGATTAACGTATTAAATAAGCCAATAAGATCGATGTATAATAATAATAAGGTTACATCTTATTTTATTAATAACTTTTTTGATTATATGAATTAAAATTGATAATAATCCGTTTTTTTTATAATATAATTATGTTATTAATACTAATTATCCTAGTGTTACTGTTAACTGGAAACGCATAAGAAGGCGATTTGACCAAAAGGTAAGTAAAATAGAATAGGTATCCTATTATTGGTAAAAGTAAGCCAACTCTAGTAAGTATCTTAATTCAATTGGAATGCAAATTTTAACATCAGTTATATCAGTAGATAAAGCTCTAAATTCTTAAACAGTTAAAGAGCATCAAATACAGATTAAAGAAATTAATGTAAAGTTGAATTAGAATTAAGACCAAATATTTTAAAGATGTAGAATAAGTTTTGAATAGAGCCACTAAATAATATATAAATAGTTAAACTTCAAAGAAAAAAAGCTGATAAAGGAATTACATAATAATTTAGATAGTCTAAAAGTATAAACAAAATCTTTTAAGTAAAGACATTAAAATATTGGATTCCATTAGATAAACAGATACTTATTTAGATCATATTGATACTTTAAGATTCTTCTAATATCATTAAAAAGATTTAAGATGCAGTTAAATTAAAAAAATACTAAAATTATGAAACATTTTTGCATAAATGAAACTTAAAATGGAGGGTATTTATATATTCTAATAAATTAATTACATTAAAGTTCTGAGAGACTTAAATAATGATCAAAATTTAGAATAAAATATTTATTAAAATTTATTGAAAATATCTGAAGAGGAAGATTAATCAATCTAACAATATGATCATTTCTATGGATATATGTTAAGATTAATAACAGATAATGAAGAAATCTTTTGACAATACTATCAGAATGTGAAATGATATTGCTTTAGAATATGAGAAGGCAATTCAAAGAATAATTGAAATTGTTATTTAAGTTCAGAGGGAAGATTATAAAAAGAGGATTATGATATAAATTTGATTTAATAATTATAATTTACAATTCTTTTGTTTCTTACAAAATTAAAATTATGTTTTAAAGCATTTAAATTGTAATGTAAAGTATCCCAATTAAAAATATTAAATAATTCGATTTAATTAGAAAGGAAATTGTGTATTTTGTTATGTTAAATAATCAATACCTAAATTAACTTAGATGGTAAGTGAAATTGAATTAAGGATTAGGGTATAATTCATAGAATGAAGGGTATTCCAAATTGAAAAAAGATTAAACAATGTATTTGGAATAGTTTTTAATAGATGTTGACATTTCAATAATAATATATATTTTTTGTTCATGGAATCAGAATAATAATAGCTCTAAAAGCATATTCAGAATATTCTAATTATGATATCACATACTTATACATAAAGATAGAGAAAGTGAGCATCAACAAAAGGAATTAATAGATAAGTCAAGATGAATATGTGAATTATGTATATATTTTAACAATGATATATCTTAATGATATCACAATTTGTCTATAATGTTTCCATATTCTAATAAGAATTGACCAAGACCTGGTAATTTAGCATTTCCACTAAGAGCAACAAAGTTTGGAATTGTAAAATAGAAATCAGTTTCTACATTTGGTAAATTCTAGAATGAAATGTATATAATTACTTCTTAAATTTATTTTAAGATGGCTATAGCTAATTCATCTTCAACTGCTGCATCTCCTTCTTAAATCCATTTTTAAATCTTTTTTCCAAAGAATCCATTTTATCTAATAAATTCAGGACAATCATCGGAACTTTTGAATTCTAAATCAATTTTGAAATTCTTAAACTTAAGAAACAAACTCATAGGAGGTTCATTAGCAGCATCTGGTTCAATATTTTCAAGAACATTTTTAATAGTTTATGCTAATTCTTAAGCAAGATCAAATTTCATAACAAATTTAAGACTCTTCATAATGACTGACATGAATCTATCCCCTTTTTTAAGAAGTTCACTGGCAAATGTAAAATCTGTATTAGATGATAATAACATTTAGATTGAATTTTCATTTTTATCAGCAAATTCTTCAAGACCTGATGTTATTTTAAATAAATTATATCTTTACCTTAAGCAAAGACCATATTGAATCCTTCTTTAACTTCTTCCATTTCTTCTGGTTTTAATTAAATTGACAACCATAATGTTGATCCTTCACAGTGAGTCTTAAATTGAAACCCTTCTTCTTCTAATAAAGGATTCAATTTATCCTTTAAAAAATTCTATAATTCTTAAGCTTTGCCATCAATTGTTTTCAATGCAAATACAACTCCCCATTCTGTATCTAAATTACCACCTGTTTATTTCTATAGCTACTCCAATTGTTATGTTGCAGCTTATTTATTAATAAGTGCTTTTAAACTTAATTTTATATATCCTTCATTACCTTAAACTCCATGCTCCTTCACCTTCATAATTTGGACCTACTTATACTGAAATGTGTGATGAATTGATTGACATTATTATGTAATTAATAATATTACAATAGATTCAATACATTTCTTAATTATATATGTATATTTTATACTTAAATACATATATATATATATATTATTAATACTTAAATACATACATATATCTATATATATATAATTAATACTTAAATACATATATGTATAATTAATTCCAATTCATATAATCATCTAGTATTATAAAAGAAAATAAATATAATTCGATCAAATATAAAGTATCATACACAAAATTTATAGTATTTTACATGATTAAGAATTTGGATACACACTAATTGAAGATGGATATGCTCCAAATAATTCTATATTTCTAATTATTTCTTTCTCTTTTCCCTTCTATACCATATATACTATTTCATCACATCCTATTTTTTAATAAGCACTATCATAATAAGACAATTCTATCCTTCCACTACTCAATTTCATCAAATAATTTTGTAATGCTTTATCTTTATTCAATCCAGAATCTTTAGCTTTTATTTATAATGACACTCCCTTTAGATTATAATTTGATAAATCTATCTAAGAATTGCACAAAAACACATTCATTTAATAATGAGTAGATATTATCATCCACAATTATCTACTAACTCTTCTCATTCTTATAATATCATTTATGCTTAAATATTATAAGATTCCCAAAACTATTATATGTCTTGGTAAGTTTTTAAACATTTTAATTAATTATATCATTTCAATAATACTATTCTATTCATACAACTAGACAATGTTTCATAACATCTTTATTAACTTTTCTCTTCTGTATTTCTACCTATTTTAACTCTTTATTCTACACTTCATAATTATTATATTTCATTCTATTTTCTCAATCTTCAAATACAATAATATTTTCTCCTAAATAATTGTATCCCATAGTTTCTTTTACTATTAAACAAATATTGCTTATTCCTATTTGTATTTTTCAAATCATTATTCCAATAGTTTATCATTTATTATCATAAATTCTATAATGGTAATATTAACATCCCTATTATGATCTTATTCTAATTTAAATTATATGATATTATTACTTTAGTTTCCTAAAACTTCAAAAATTTAGGCATATATTTAATATCTTAAAATAATGGTGGAATTTCTCTTGGATATGGAAATATCAAACTTTTATTTCTTGTTAATTTAATATCAGAAAATTATAAGTTTTACTACTTAACTCATTTTATTTTATTATATTGTCTACTATGGTTTATTCATTTTATATAATCCAAAACATATATTCAATTACCAATCAATCTATTAATAAATTAATTAATTTTTATAATCAAATAAGATCTAATCAACATTTAATCCACATTAGACCTTTTTTTCTTTAAATCTTTATAGCCCCAATATTCTTGAAAAAAGATATTAAATTTAATAAAATAAGAGATGTCTATTTTATCTTTTTAATTTTACTCAAAATACTCTTGTAATATCTTCAATCTAAAGAGTAATCACTTTTATATCAAGCATTCAATTAATTTCTGCTTCTGAAAATTGTCAATTATCATTTAATTTCCATATATTTTTATATAAACTTTGAATCCTTAAACTTAATTACTAAATCTTCATAATTTTTGGCAAATTTAAAAAGATTAATATAAAAAAATGGATCTTTTATTCTTCAGATTTGATATTCTTAATATATTCAATTTAACAATACACTAAATAAACCATTGCTTTAACTTTCTAATAAGGTTAATTTTTCCTAAATATTCTCATAAATTTATCGTATTTGTATAAAATTAAATTAATAAATTAATAAATTATAAATTTATATATATATATGTAAATCAGCATTTTTTACCAAATGATTAAGTAATTTCTTCATATGAGATCTCGATTGATTTTTCTAAATTATCTGGGATCTCTTTAGGTTTGAGAATTTATCCTATAGTTAAGTTTTTCTAGATAAATGTTTCATGTAATAATTTCATTTATGCTATCCAATAATTTTATTGTTGCAAATTTTGCTATTAATATAACAATTCTAGAATGGTCAATTAATGGCCTGATATTACTTCATTGAAATTTTGAAGAGGCATTAATTTAATTATATTCTCTTCATTACCATATATATCTTTTTCCATTTTTATTATTTCTTACCATGGTTCCTCAATAAGATTTATATTAATTTAAGATTTGAGTTCCAATAACTTTTTAATTGTGTTGTCAATCGTTTTTTATAGATTAAACTATTATTATGATTATTTATCATAATTCTATTTTAAACTTTATAACTAAATTTTTAGTTATTATATTTTTTTTTGTTTGTACAATCTACTAGATTATGATTGAATATCATTGACATTTAATAAATATTCATCATTTTTAGTTATTTTATTGCCTTTAGTAGATTTTTTGGTAAATAATAATTGAGCTTCTTTTTTTTATCTTAAGAAAATACTATTATTAGTTAAATCTTAAAAGATATTAGAGCTGCTGGATCTTTCTGATCGATGTGTTTAAAGAATATTTTAACAATTCTCATTTTAATATCTGTGCTTCATAATTTAATTATAAAATAAAAAAAAACTTAAATATCAATAAAATAGTCTTTAACTTTTTTATTTGTTGAACTGATCCTCTTGAAAAAACAACATTTAATTATGAGTCTTTCTTTATGTAGTTTGTACAATATTTTTTTGGATTTAGATGAGATTATCCATTTTGAGTTTCTGAATATGAGTTTTAGTTTATAACCTATAAAATATGATGATAATTTATATACATATCAAATTAATCAAGACTATCTTTAATTTTTAATTTACTAAATTCATAATTCAATACTTTTGGAAGTGACATTGAATACATAGTTTTTTAAGGATAATGATAATCATTAGGTATGGTAATTTATTTAGATTATTTATTTTATTTTCTAACTTTAGATGGTGGAAAATATGGTTATTTGTAATGGTCTTAACTTAAATAAACAATATTCTCAATAGTTTAATGTTTTTTTTCGATTCTCTTTTTGTGTAATACTAATTTATCTGCCTTGAATTTTGGTAAAATTCTATTCATATTAATTTCTTCTAAAGAAAGTTATGCTTATTAACAATAGAATAAGATTTGTTCAATATTAGGTCTGAGTTCAGGATCATAACCCAACATTAATCTTAGTAAATTATTTAAATTAAGACTATAATTTGGATTGTACGTAATGTGTATTCCTTTAAGTATTTTTTTATGTAAAACATCTAAATTATTTGCAATAATAAGTGGATCCTTAAACATCATTTAATACATCATATATCCCATCATCCAAATATCTGATTTATGATCATATATTTATGTTCGAATGAATTCAGGTGCCAATAAATAACTATCATTATAATTGTTCTTATGTAAATAATAGAGGATGTTCATCTCTCCTAAAATAGTGTTGGTTGGACCTTAAAACACATTTGATAATAACAATTTCCCATGAATCCTTTTCGGATGTATTTATTATAAGCCTTAAGAAATCTAAATGAATTATGCTGATGTGGTACTTCTTATATTGCCTTCCAAATATCTCCCTCTTTCATAGGATATTCATATTATTTATCTAAATAATCACTTACTATTCTAATAATTCGAATTAAGCTAATACCCTAAATAATTCATCTCTTAGTCCAAAGAAGCTTCATAAAACTTCACAATATATGGGTTCTTTGTATTAGATAATTTTGTTAACATTTTAATTATCATTTACACTCTATCTTTAGGAATGTTTTCCAATGTGAATATCCTCAACATGTAATAATGACCACTTCTTTTAACTATGAGGGACTTCTTGAATGAGTTTTATTTAAGTATATTAACTATTTCAAATTGAGGAAATAACTGTTCCACACTTTTCATTTAATAAATTAATGGAACTTAGAGAAGCATTTATTACATTTCTTAATTACATTAAAAATCAGCAATAGATAACATTAAACTTAAAGAATACAATTGATAAAATTGTTGTATAATTATAATCCAAATCAACTGATGCTGAAATAAAATTATTTATTACCAAATCGATATCTAATCATTAAAGAGTGAATTCCTAACCTACTAAACCACCTTAAGTTGTTAAATAGAATGCTCTAGTCGGAGTAACTGCTTTTAATTTTAAACCATAAAGGAAAATGTCAGAATAAAAGTCTGAATAGAAATCTTAAGAAGAAAAAGTAACTACTTAAGATACTCGATAACTTTATAGTAATTTAGAAATACAAGTCAATAAATAATAACAAAATGAAATGTCATTTGGTAAATTTAAAAATAAAATCTTATTACTTAATGATATAGTTCTTAGTTTAAGATAATTCTAAAACAACACAGAAACTCTCTCCTAAATTTATAATCATACTTCTGAAATATAAACTGCCTATGGAATACGAATTAGTCAAGATATACATGGTTCTTGTTAAGTCAATCGTAAAGGATCTAACAAATTATTTGCTGGATATAATAGTAAATTAATGAGTGATGATCAATTGGTTGCCATCCAGAATAATTTTCTAATGAAAAAACAAATTGTTAAAGGACTCCACCACGACATAACAATAGAATCCCCATTACAAATGGAAAAGCAGATCTTCTTAATTTGATAATTTAATATTATGGATATAAGATCAGCTATATGCAATCTTGTAATGACTGTTTCGAACTTCATTATAGAACCAAAACTTAAGACTTAACTTGATTAACTTTATAATCTTGCCTCCAAACCCAATTCCAATCTTGATGACATATTCACATTCATGAATAACATCAGCAAATCCACAAATATTCATTAAAGAGTCTAATCATAGCCTTTCTAACTTAATTCTCCTAAACCATCTAATAAAGTATAAACACAGTCTGGTGCTAGTGTTTCTGCATTTTCTGGTGGAATCAACAACAAAATTACAAATTTTGGAAATCAATTAAATTATGCTAGTCCAAGTAAGACTTATAGAGAAGATAAAATTCATAAAAATTATTCAGATAGATAAATTTGTCTAACTAGTGAAACATTAACATAAACTCCTAAAAATTAAACTGATTTCAAGCTAACTATAGACTTACCATCCAAAATTAAATTGTAATCTAAAATTCATACTCATCATCCTACAGTTCCAGCTATCTAAGATCTTTTTTAATAGTCTTAAAAAGAAATCAATATACCAAAAAATTATACTTAAAAAATTCATACCTAAATTAATTTTAATTAATAATTAGAATAATAATTAGTAATAAAATAGTATAATCAGAATAATAATAAAATCTCCCATCGATTATTAGTAAACTTAGATTAATGTATCAAGGAAATGAGTACAAATACATTTAAATTGATACTAACAAATGAAAAAACATCTGAAATAGAAACTTGCACATCTATTCATCACAATAGTTAATTAGAAAATTCAATTACAATAAATTAGAGAAAATAATATAATGTAAAATTATTGCCATATTATATAGCCATTGTAAAAAGGAATTCATTAGAAGATGACTGATAAAGATCTATTTTATATTTAATAAAATTTTTTGATGAAAAAATTAATTGTTAAAGCAAAATAATAAGTTGAAAAAAGTTCTCCTTTGAATCCAAGTTTAGATATATTTTTAAAATGAAGTGATTTCATTGATATTTAATTAATTATTAAAATTTAAGTTAATAATATAAATTAAGAATTCAGAAATTATAATTTAAATATATTATCATGAGATAATACAATAAAAAATAATGGGGATCTGTTTTAGGAGAAGCTCATAATGTAAAAGCTTATTCAAATGTTGGAATTCATTATGATCATTCTAAATGGAATAGTTATAAAAGTTTTTTGAAAAAAGAGGAATCAGGATTGATGAGAGACGTATTATTAGGAGTAAAGTAAAAATAAAAATTAAGAGATAGATATTAATGTGTTGAATATGCAAGAAGATTTATAGTGACTAATTTTGCAGCTGCATTTAAGGAAATTAATTGCGCGGATCAAATATATTAGTTAAATAATGTGGATGATTTGACAACTCTAAATGGGACTTTATAATTTTCAACATTTCCAAATAAATCAAATTCGTATAAAATAAAATTAAATACATAGGGCTCCTTAAATAGGAGATTTAATAATTTATCCAAGGACTCAAAAATAACCTTATGGACATGTTGCTGTAATTGTTGAAGTAGGCAATGGATATGTTTGTGTTGCTGAATAAAATTATGAAGATTCTGGATGGACAAAGAATAATTACTCAAGAAAACTAAAAATGAATTAAACTAATGGTTAATATGAAATCACATAAGTTAGAGTTGGGTAATAATTTAATTTAATCATAGTTTGGAACATTAATACTAATATTGGTGGGATCGAAATGAAGTAATATTAGGTTGGAAGAGAGTTTGTAGATGAATTTACTTATTTTTTTTCTATTTCTTTTTATTTAATAATGATAATAATAATTATTATTATTATTATATAAATATTTATTGTTTTATAANGATTATTAGTAAACTTAGATTAATGTATCAAGGAAATGAGTACAAATACATTTAAATTGATACTAACAAATGAAAAAACATCTGAAATAGAAACTTGCACATCTATTCATCACAATAGTTAATTAGAAAATTCAATTACAATAAATTAGAGAAAATAATATAATGTAAAATTATTGCCATATTATATAGCCATTGTAAAAAGGAATTCATTAGAAGATGACTGATAAAGATCTATTTTATATTTAATAAAATTTTTTGATGAAAAAATTAATTGTTAAAGCAAAATAATAAGTTGAAAAAAGTTCTCCTTTGAATCCAAGTTTAGATATATTTTTAAAATGAAGTGATTTCATTGATATTTAATTAATTATTAAAATTTAAGTTAATAATATAAATTAAGAATTCAGAAATTATAATTTAAATATATTATCATGAGATAATACAATAAAAAATAATGGGGATCTGTTTTAGGAGAAGCTCATAATGTAAAAGCTTATTCAAATGTTGGAATTCATTATGATCATTCTAAATGGAATAGTTATAAAAGTTTTTTGAAAAAAGAGGAATCAGGATTGATGAGAGACGTATTATTAGGAGTAAAGTAAAAATAAAAATTAAGAGATAGATATTAATGTGTTGAATATGCAAGAAGATTTATAGTGACTAATTTTGCAGCTGCATTTAAGGAAATTAATTGCGCGGATCAAATATATTAGTTAAATAATGTGGATGATTTGACAACTCTAAATGGGACTTTATAATTTTCAACATTTCCAAATAAATCAAATTCGTATAAAATAAAATTAAATACATAGGGCTCCTTAAATAGGAGATTTAATAATTTATCCAAGGACTCAAAAATAACCTTATGGACATGTTGCTGTAATTGTTGAAGTAGGCAATGGATATGTTTGTGTTGCTGAATAAAATTATGAAGATTCTGGATGGACAAAGAATAATTACTCAAGAAAACTAAAAATGAATTAAACTAATGGTTAATATGAAATCACATAAGTTAGAGTTGGGTAATAATTTAATTTAATCATAGTTTGGAACATTAATACTAATATTGGTGGGATCGAAATGAAGTAATATTAGGTTGGAAGAGAGTTTGTAGATGAATTTACTTATTTTTTTTCTATTTCTTTTTATTTAATAATGATAATAATAATTATTATTATTATTATATAAATATTTATTGTTTTATAATTTCTATATATTTAAAACTTATAAAATAAAGAAAGATAATAATGTGAAAAATGAATTAGATATTAATATTTATTAGGATAGATTTTATATTATACAAAAATAAATACAACTCTTACAAATTTAGAAATTCATTTTTTAAATTTAGTTTCATCTATTTAATTAATAGGTGAAACATCATAAGATGTATGAGCTGAAGGTATTTAATAGCTACTTTTTCTACTTTAAGAATTTTCAATAACATGATCTTTGATTTGTATAACCAAATCTTAAAATTGCTTTTGGGCATAATGTATATGATTAGAGAAATCAATTCTTATTGATGTAGAATCAAGATTGACAGATGTAGTGATTTCACTGTTCTTGTTAATTTATAAGTCATCTCTAGAAGTAGATTTTTATGTTCCTACTTCATTAATCCAAGGATGCAATGAAAATTCTTCTGCAGTTAATCGTTTTTCTGGATTTTTATTTAAAAGTCTTCTTAATAAATCAATTTGAAGTGGCTATAATAGTTTAAACTCCTTATTTTAATCAATAGTTTAATTGAGGTCAGTAATCAATTCTATTGTATCTAACTTAGAATCACAGTAAAATGGAAATTTACCACAGAGAAGTTGATATAAGATAACTCCAACACTCCATACATCAACTAAAATGTAATTAAAAAATAGAGATACCTTTTTCATCATATCCTCCACCTAAGAAGGTTTCTGGGGCTTAATAGAGTAAAGAACCTGTTCTAGTCCACATTTCATGATATATTTTATCATTTTTCTTTTTGATCATGAATTTCTTAGACACACCAAAATCAATGATCTTAATATCAATTTAACCATGTAGTTTTATTAATATGTTATCTGGCTTTAAATCTCTATGGCAAATACCTTTCTTATGGATTTCAGTTATGGTTTGAGCTAAATGTTTCATTATCTACTAAATTGCAATATCAGGGATTGATTTCTGCATGTAAGATTGGAGACTTTTGTAATTACAATATTCCATCACCCAATAAGCCACTTATTCATTTTCATCTATGTATAAATCATACGATTTTATTATTTTGGGATTATCATTCAATGTTCTATTGATATTAAAGGTTTAAATGATAGTTCGAATTAATTCAGGATCGTTTTGACATGACAATTTTTTAACAGCATAGTTAATTTTTAATTAATCTTTAATTTTATAACAGATCTTAACAACTCCATGAGCACCAGTTCCAATTTTTTTTGTTACTTTATACACATCATGAAATTTGGTGATTTTGGATTGTTGATTTTATTTATTTAATGTAAATTATTTCCATTATGTTATAGATTTGGATCTCTTAGTTTCAGTCGTGTATTGACATCTTTCAGTCTTCAATGATTTGAATAATGATTATTTAACATGCTATCTCAACTCTAGCAAATTTCTATTTGATTATTATTTCATATATTAATATTATATAAAATTTAATGCATACAAATTGATTATTGAGGATTTCTTCACTTAATTCATTTTATTTCAATATTAATGACTAATAATAAAATTAGTTTAGTACATAAATTAATTAATGACATTTCTTTGGGCTGACATACCATTTGAATGGACCTGTATTTCATTAAGATATCATAATGATATGTTTTGGTAAAAGATCTCATCATGTTAGGTATATATGGAGCATTATCTAAATGATTCCAGTCTTTGCAGCAGGGTTCTATCAATTGTACAAACATCAAACAACCCCAGATTATTATCATAAAATCAAGAAAGGCGCTTGGGATCAGTTTATTGTCATGTTTTTTGTATTCAAAAACTATACTATAAGGCTGCTCCTGTCCCATTCTATTATTTAATTGATCTCACAATTTCTATTGTGGAGGGAACCTTTTTTGAACCTTGCAGATTCTGGCTTTGGTTTCATCATATGGTAAACCATTTATTCTAAAATCTAAGGTTTCCATGGTTGTTATCCCTCCTTTAATCCTTAGAAATGAATATGAATGGTAAGACACATTGATCATGGCTACCCATACCTTATTGATGAAGTTTCCCTTCATCTTCTTATTTAATATATTATATGTTGGACTTGTCTTTTATTACAATATTTTGCTCTATTTCAGGTATGTTTCTATTACTAATCAAGTCCTTTGAATAAAAAATGGGTCAATAGATTCTTGGGTAAATTTTTCCCATTCATCTATTATAGCTTTATTGTACTCCTTGTTCATGATTGCAATAATGCCTTACCATTCCTATATTGATTTATCATTAAAATACATATATCTTTTACAATAATATTATGAATAATTAATATATAATTTTCTTTAAATTCATTATAAAATGGGTTGCGCCCAAACCAGATAATATGAAAAGAGTGCTATGATAACTTGCGAAATCAAATATTTAATTCCTGAATTAACTCAAGCAATCAAATTAGCATAATAATGTCTCTATTCTCCCTAATCTCCAATCATAGTAATTACTTTTTTCAATTTTAGCTCACTCCCATCAAATTAATAAATGGATTATATTGTAAAATCGAAAGTACATTACCATCAGGTTCAGTTAAAATGAGAGCCATCTATAATATGCTTTATAGATTGTAACAGAAAAAACGGCATAGAGGTGAAGATCAATTAAATTTAGTTATTTGTTCTTCTGGAAATGCAGCTACTGCTTGTATAGAAAGTTTGAAATTATTAAAATCAGAAGATTAGCAGAATCAAAAATAAAAGATTATTACAAATGATATTTGTCATGATGATACACCTACTGATCCAGGATTGTCTGTAGAAATTAAAGATTCACAATTCTAATCCAAAATAAAACCATATGAATTAAATGGGAAATTGATAATCTTCTCTAAATATGTAAAAGAAATTCATTATACTAATGATTTACCAAATGTTACAATTATACATTCTGAATTAAATAAAAATGAAATAGAAGATGAAGCTATTAAATATAGTGAAGAAATGGGATACGATTATTTAGATTTACAAAATGATTTTCATGTTTTTGGAGGATATGCTACTATTGGATTTGAAATAGATTAATGGCAAACTTTAACAAATACAAAAATAGATTCAATTTTTGTTACTTTAAAAAGTGGTGCTTTGATTGCTGGAATAGCTTTCTATATAAAATATTTAGCATAAAATAAAACTCGCATGATAGGAGTAATGTTAAGGGGATCAATTAGAAAAGGTGTAACGTTATGTTAATAAATCATTGAAGGATTTATTGATGAGATTGTTTATGTAAGTGTTGAAGAAGTGGAAAAGGCATAATGTGAATTAGCAAAAGCTGAATAAATTGCTGAATTCAATTGTGCAATAGCTTATGCAGGATGCAAGAAAAGTTCAATTAAAAATAGCCTAGTTGTACTCTCTGGAGGAAATGTGGCAGCTAATGACTTAAAGAGATTAATAAAATAATATGAATGAATTAAATTATTTATATATTATGAATATTAAATAATAATTCAAAAAGTAATTTCAAGTTAATAGTAGTAGCAGCATTAGTTATTTATTAGGTTTGCATAAATAGTGATTTTACCTAAGAAAATAATGACATAAGATGGTATAAAACAAATGAATTGGGTATTCGGAAAAGAAGGAGTAATTATGTTATAAGTGTCAATAATTCTTATATAATTTACAGAAGATGATTCTCCATCTATATAATTAAGTAAGTTGAGGTTAAATTAGCATATGAAAATTCCCATAAAATTAAAAATTAATATTAAATAAATTGAATAAGGGGAGAGAGGAGATTATGATAGTGTATTCGCCACATGAACATAAATATATTGTTTGAATATTAAATTAAATGGCTTCTCATTTTTTATCTTTTCTTTTTCTATCTTCTATAATATAAGAATTGAAATACTGTTGTCCTATTAAGTGCTAAGCTAATAAGCTAAAGTTTCTTTGATATATGGTCTTTGGATATCAATAGGTTTATCAATAATCTTGGCGTTAGCATTAACATTTTAATCATTAATGACCAATTATAAATGGACTGGAGGACGTAATGCCTCCTGCAATTAAGAGGACGATGAATACAAGAGTAAATAACTTGAAAATTAAATAGGTGCGATACTTCCTATTTTACTAAAAGACATAAATTCCAATTAGATCTCCATACTTTTTAAATTCCAAATAGACATTAAAAGGAGGTACATCTCTATCTAATTCAACTTGCACCTCATAATTCCTCAATAAATCTTAAACAGGTCGTTATTTTTTAGCTACAACCAAAAGAGGAATACCCTTAACTTGCAAACAGGGTCTCAAATTGACTAAAAATTGAGCAGTATTTTCATCTTAAAATTATAACTCTAAATATTGCATCTTATCAGAAGTGTCTTAATAATTTAAATAAATAATAACTCCAAGTATGATTAATAGGTGCATTCTATTTATGATAAGTAACAATCTCTTAGATTACATCATTCTCATTAACTTCTTGTGGAATAGAGAAGATATAAACACTATTCTTATCAGTAAACACCTGTTAAGGTTTTATAGGTTAAACATTCAATTAATCCTTATTCAATTCTAAAGAAGAGCTTCTTGATGAATGTCTATTTTTTTTAATTTATTTAATTCTTCTTGGTTCACTAGAAGAAGATGGAGATCTCCTTCTAGATCCTTATCCTTGAGATTATTTACTCTCTACTTTCTTATTATTCTTCTTCTTCTTACTAACACTTCTACTCTTATATCTTCTAGATGATTCGCTACTTTCACTTCTTCCCTTAGACTACTACTATATTAAATATTATAATATAATTACATTTCTCCTTAATGATCTTTCTAAATGTTCTTTGTCTAACATATTCTTATTTTCAAGATAGTTTTTAAATGCATCACTTAATTCTACTACTTCCTTTTATCTTCCTATTCATTATTATGCTTCTACTTACCATTTCTTCCAAAATTAAAATGCTTCTTCCCAATATATACTAATTTTGCATTATCATCATTGGTCATTCCTATTGCAACATCACAATAGGATCCTTGATTATTAAACATCTACACCACATCACATGATCCAGCCAAATTCACTAAATATTACCATACATTACCTTTTCTTTTTATAAAACTCAAGAATTCATTTGTACTCATCCCATTCGTATGTACATGACGAACATAAAAATGAATTTTGAATTCACTATGTGGATAGTAACGTTTTCCTATCTTATTCTCAAATGATGATGATTAATTTGAGTATGACTCATTAGAAGAATCACGTTTCTTTTATTAACCTTTTCTACCTTCCTCTCCATATGAAGATGCATTTCTTCCCTCTTCCTTTATCTCTAACTTTTACACTTCTTCTTGTTATACTTACTACTAAATCATTTTTTTAAATATTAATGATAAATTCAAATAATGAGGCGCTTCTCAAACAAGTAAATAAAAATCAAACTCTACTCATCTCAAAATTATAAGATGATATTCTAATCCTCAATCAAGAAATTGAAGCTTCTAATCAATAAATAGATTCTATGAAATCATAACATCATATAGCATTATCACAATAATCATCCATTATTTAAGATCTTAGAAATCAATCAGAGAACTATCAATAATAAAATATGGAACTTCAATCCAAGTTTACATAATCAGTATTATAAAATCAATTACTCCAATCAAAATATGACAAAAAAAATAAACTATATAAAGATTAAATCATCGAACTCAAACAATAAATCAAACTTACTCATCTCAAAAATTAAGATTATCAAAGAGATATACTTGATCTTCGTAAATCCATTGATATTAAAAAAATTGAACTCTCTAAGCTCAATGAGAGCTACTCATTATTAAATGAATAAAATAAATAACTAAAAGCTAATTTAGACCTTCTAAAACTTGATTAACAAGATAAAATAGAACAACTCCAAAATTTTATCTAACAAAAGGATCAAAAAATCACACTAATTATAAATGAAAACAATTTATTAAATAAAACCAATCAAGAATTAATACAAAAAAATACCATCCTATCATAAACCTTTCACTCTTAAATCAATACTCTACAAGAAGATAATGAAAACCTCAAAATTTAACTATCAGATTCCCTAAACCATAATACTCTATTAAAATAATAATTACAATAACAATCTTTTGAATTATAAACCATATCTTCTTCAATATAATTGTAATCTGCTGCTCAATCTTAATAAATTCTTGCTGAATAGCAAAATTAAGATTTACTTAATCATAATCATCAATTAGAGATGAATTTATAACAAAAAATTTTAGATAATTCATCTCTCTAAAAAATTATTGAGGATCAAGAACTCAAAATTACCAAATTATAATCATAAAATAACGATCTAGAATTATCTCACCAATAACATATATAATATAATCAAGAATCCATTAATCATTTATAATTATAGATATCTAAACTTACATCTGATTTGAAAGAAGCTGAATTAAAACATATTTAAGTCAAATAAATACAAGAAACTACTATTTCTAAACTTAATCACGATATTCGATCACTTGAATAAAAAAATGAAGATTTACTTTTACATAACAATAAATTAATAAACGAAATCAAATAAAATGAATTAATATAATAAAAAGAATCCACCATTATTTGTTAAAAAAATTCAGAATTTGAAATCTAGCTATTAGAATCATAACATTAAATAGAAGATTTAAAGTAAGAGAAAAAAAAACAAGAACTTGTTGTTGATATGTTAAATCATTAATTATTAGTGTAAAAATAACTTCAATCAAAATTAGAGGAAGATATTGTTAAATATTAAAACTTCCTCATTTCACATGATAAATAATTAGAAGCTGTTACTTCTAATGATTGTTCTGATTCAAGTGATTCAAGTGAAGATTTAATTACAGAAAAACCATAATAATTAAATTTTGATGCTCTTTGTAATAAATTGACCGAATAAATCAGACTTATCTAACTTAGACTTGAAATTTATGAAAAATAGATGAAGTAATATAAATTAGAACTACATACTAAAACTGTTGAAATACAAAAATTGTTTAGTGAAAATTCTGAATCAAATCTAAAAGTCTAAAGATTATCTTAAATGCAACCTAAATTTGAGTATTAACTTGAAAATCAAGAAGCATCTTTAAAAGAAAAAGAATTAATTATAGAAAATCTAACATAATAAATTAATAGATTATAATCTTAGCTTCAAGAATATGAATAAACAACATTAAATCTTTAAAAATAAAAACAAATGTAAGAAGAAATTTAACAGAAACAAATTTAAGATTTAAAAAATGAAATGTTAGCTTAATCTTCATAAAAAGATATTAGAATAGAAGAATTAATTAGAAAAAGTATGGATTATGAAGATCATTTGATTGAAAATGAAAATAAAATAAAATAATTAGAAATTGAAAATGAATCTTTGAATATTAAAATCATTTCATAAGATGTTGAACTATCAAATTTATAAAATCAACTTTAACTAGAACTTGTTATTAAAAATGATTTGGAAAACAATTTATAATCAGTTAAAGAGGATATTGAATTGAGATAGGCTGAAGATTCATAAGTTTCCATTTTTGATTTTATATTTCAAAGCATCAACTATTAAATGATCCTATTTTTAGAGGATAATACATAAAAAATCACAACTTTACTCTAAATTAAAATTGATACTCTTCAAAATAATCTTTTAAGAATAATCAATAAATATTAAAAAATATTAGAAAAAATATAAAAAAATTATCATAAAATTTAAAATTTGTATGAAAATTCACAATAGACCTTGATTTAAAAGGAAAATATTTATTAAATTGAAATTGATAATCAATAAAATTAAATTTAAGTATTGCAATAAGAAATATAATAAAAAATTAGACTTATCATATAACATGAAGATTCATAGAAGAAATTATTATTTGATTTACATAATGTTGAATAAGAGAATAAAAATTAAAAAATTATAATAAGTTAACAATAATAAAAATTAGATGAAAAACCTAAGTCAGATAACTTATCTAAAGGATTTTATGAGTAATAAATTGAGGAATTATAAAAAAGAGTTTCATTTTAATAATCAGATTTAAATAGAACTGTATAAAAGAATACTTAATTAGATGTATAAGTATAAGATTTAAAAAATTAAATTTATTCAAAAGAAAAAAATAAAATTAATGAATTAAAACAAAGTTAGAATCATTTAAATATTGATTAAACTGAAATATAAATTGATTAGTTACAATCTTCAGAACAATAAAATTAGATATTAGAATTAATATCGAAAAATACAGATATAACTCAAGAAAATTTAGATGTATAATTTAAGTTAAAAGAATTATAAGAATTAAATTAAAATCTATAGGATAAAGTTAACTTATTAACCAAATAAGGAGTAAACCAAAAATAAATAATTAATTAATTGCAATAACAAAATTAATTAGAAGTGAAATAAAATTTGACATTGTTATAATAAATGGATCCTTTACAAAAGTAGATAGATAATTTAAAAAGAGAAAATAGAAAGTTACAATAATTAACTAATGATTTTGAAAAAGCTTATGGTAAATTACCCCTCTATGGTAGTCCTAGTCCTAAAAAAAGTCTAATTTAAGATTAAAATTCAATAAAGAGATTAGAAGATGATTTTATGTAAATGTAACTAAAATTTTAACTAGAATTATAGGAAAAAAATAAAGAAATAACTAATATTACTTAATAGTATGAACAACAATTAGAGTAATCAAGAGATCTTAATAATGATAAAATCTAACAACTTGAATAAAATTGTATTACTTCGAGCAATCAAATCAAGTAATTACAAGTTTTGAATAATAAACTAGAGGAAGAACATGGGTATATTGAAAGGGAAAATATAAAATTAAATGAATAATTACAAAAATTAACTAAATTATTGGATTTATAAAGTTAGTATTAAAAGATTTTAGATGAAAAAGAAAGTGAATTGATTAGAATGAAGGTTTTAGTCTAACAAACTTAAGATGAAAACTAATAATTATAGAAATAAATTATCAACTTAGAAGAGGAAAATAAAAATATCAAACAACTAAAAAATTAATAATATATTTTGTTAGAAAAATAAAATAATGATTATATCATTGAAATAAATTAATTAAAAGATAATTATTAAACTTTAGAAAATCAAAGTTTAGAACAGATAAATTAAATAGAATAGAAATATAATTAAATTGAGAATGAATCACAAAGCAAATAAATTGAAAATGTAGAAAATCTTTAAAAATAAATTGATGATTAAAAATTATAATTATCGAAATACGAGAATGATAAAATTGATCTATAATAACGAATTTAATTTTAAGAGGTTTAAATTAAGTAATATAAAAATTTAATCTCCGAAAACGAGAAGCTAATATAAATTAAAAGTATTGAATCTAAAGAAATGGAATTCGAGTTTAATAAAAATATAGAAAATCTTTAAATAAAAATCGATAATTAAAGTTAGTTATTATCTAATTCTTAAATTAATTTGCATGATCTATAATAATAAATAAAGGAATATTAAGACTAAAATAACAAAAATAAAAATATGATAGAAGAAATGGAATAGTCAATTTAAAATTAAAATATTGAATCAAAAAATATATAAACAGGACTTCTGAATAGGGTAAATGATCTTTAAAAATAAATTGATGTTTATAATTTATAAATATTGAATTCGAAGAATTAAACATTTGAACTATAGTAAAAGATTAAATTTTAAGAAGATTAAATTATTTAATATAAAAATATAATAGAAGAAAAAGAGAAACTCACTAATACTAAATTTAATGAATCATATTAGGTTCATTTAGAACTTAAGAATAAAATAGAAGAACTTTAAAATTTACTTCAAAGTTAAAATTTATAATAACAGGATTCCAAGAATTTGACACTTGAGTTATAAAAGAAAATTTAATTATAAGAATCTATTATTAATTAATATAAAAATATCATAGAAGAAAAAGAGTAGGTTATTACAAATAAATCTAATGAAACTAATATTATTCATTTAGAACTTTAAAATAAAATTAATGACCTTGAAAAATTATTAAAAAGTTAAAATTTATAATTATAAGATTCCAAGAATTAGATTTTTGAGTAATAAAAGAAGATCTAATTTTAAGAAAATTAAATTACTTAATAAAAAAAGCTAATAGAAGAAAAAGAATAGCACATTTCAATAAAATCTAATGAAGCAAAAAATATTCATGAAGAACTTAACAATAAAATAGAATAACTTTAAAGGTTACTCAATAACTAAAATTTATAATAATAGAATTCCGAGAATTAGACACTTGAGCTGTAAAAGAAAATCTAATTATAAGAATCTATAATTCAAAAATAAAAAGATTAAATAGGAGAAAAAGAGAAGCTTATTGAAATGAATTTCAATGAGTCTAGTAATATTCATTTAGAGTTATAAAATAAATTAGAAGATCTATAAAAGTTATATAATAGTTAAGATTTATAACTATTAAATTCTAAAAATTAAATAGTTTAGCTTTAATAATAGAATTAAATTTAATTAGAGTAAATTAGCCAATATAAAAATATTATTGAAGAAAAAGAGAAGCAAAATACAACTAAATTTAATGAATCCAACTTTATTCATTAAGAACTAAACAATAAAATATAAGAACTTTAAACAAAACTCACCAGTTAAAATATATAATTATAGGATTTCAAGAATTAAAGCATTAAACTATAATAGAAAATCTAATCTTCAGAATCTTTGATTAATTAATAAATAAATTAGATCGAAGAAAAAGAGTAACTAATTAAAATAAAATAAAATGAATCCAGTATTATTTATTCAGAACTATAAAATAAAATTGAAGACTTTTAAAAATTAGTAAATAATTAAGAAATATAATTATCAAATTCTAAAAATTATATAGCTGAGTTGGAGTAATAGAATAAAATTTAATTAGAATCAATTAACGAATATAAAAATGTTATTGAAGAAAAAGAAAAATTTATTTTATTTCAAGAGAATAATTTTTAAAAGGTTTAAATTGAACTTAATAATAAAGTAAAAAATCTTACAAAATTAACAGATGATTTAAACTAATCTTACTCTATTTCTAAAGATAATTTACTTGAATAAAAATAACAAATTTTAGCATAATAAGATTAAATTATTTAATATAAAAATATAATAGAAGAAAAAGAGAAACTCACTAATACTAAATTTAATGAATCAAATTAGGTTCATTTAGAACTTAAGAATAAAATAGAAGAACTTTAAAATTTACTTCAAAGTTAAAATTTATAATAACAGGATTCCAAGAATTTGACACTTGAGCTATAAAAGAAAATTTAATTATAAGAATCTATTATTAATTAATATAAAAATATCATAGAAGAAAAAGAGTTGGTTATTACAAATAAATCTAATGAAACTAATAATATTCATTTTGAACTTTAAAATAAAATTAATGACCTTGAAAAATTATTAAAAAGTTAAAATTTATAATTATAGGATTCCAAGAATCTAATAATTGAACTTTAATAGAAAATTTAATTATAAGAATCTATTATTAATTAATATAAAAATATCATAGCAGAAAAAGAGTAGGTTATTATAAATAAATCTAATGAATCAAATAATATTCATTTTGAACTCCAAAATAAAATTAATGACCTTGAAAAATTATTAAAGAGTTAAAATTTAGAATTATAAGATTCCAAGAATTAGATTTTTGAGTAATAAAAGAAGATCTAATTTTAAGAAAATTAAATTACTTAATAAAAAAAGCTAATAGAAGAAAAAGAATAGCACATTTCAATAAAATCTAATGAAGCAAAAAATATTCATGAAGAACTTAACAATAAAATAGAATAACTTTAAAGGTTACTCAATAACTAAAATTTATAATAATAGAATTCCGAGAATTAGACACTTGAGCTATAAAAGAAAATCTAATTATAAGAATCTATAATTCAAAAATAAAAAGATTAAATAGGAGAAAAAGAGAAGCTTATTGAAATGAATTTAAATGAATCTAGTAATATTCATTTAGAGTTATAAAATAAATTAGAAGATCTATAAAAGTTATTTAATAGTTAAGATTTATAATTATCTAATTCTAAAAATTAAATAGTTTAGCTTTAATAATAGAATTAAATTTAATTTGAACAAATAAGTTAATAAAATAAAATAATTGAAGAAAAAGAGAAATTAGTTTAAATATAAGAGAATAACTTTTAAAATGTTTAAATTGAACTTAATAATAAAATAAAAAATCTTACAAAAATAACTGAAGATTTAAGTTCATCGTCTTCTATTTCTTAAGATTGTTTACTTGAATAAAAATAATAAATTTAAGCATAATAAGATTAAATTAATTAATATAAAAATATCATAGAAGAAAAATAATAGCTTATAACAATGAAATCTAATGAATCAAATAATATTAATTTAGAACTAAAAAATAAAATAGAAGACTTTTAAAAATTATTAAAAAGTTAAAATTTACAATTATAGGATTCCAAGAATCTAATAATTGAGCTATAAAGGAAAATTTAATTATAAGAAGATTAAACTAGTTAATAAAAATAGCTGATCGAAGATAAAGAAAAGTAAATATAAAATTAAAATAATGATTCAAATAAAATGATGAAAAAAATACAAGATTCTGAAAATTAAATCTTAAATCTTTCAAATTCACTTTAAGAATATGATTCTAAACTACATAAATAAATAAAATAGTTTGAAGAATATAAAGCAAATACATCTATTTAATTTGAAAAATTAGATCAGGAAAAATTTTAATTATAGTAGCTATTAATTGATTATGAAAAGTAAATTAAAATATAGACAAATATTAATTAAGAAAATGAATAAAAAATAATTTAAGAATAGATTTAAAATAAGGGATTGAAATAGGATATTTTTGAAAAAGAATAAGCCATTAATTAATTGATATTATAAGAAAAAGAATTTAAATATTAAATTTGTTAATTAAATATTTAAGTTTTAAATGAGTAAAATGATTTAAATAATCTTAAGATTTAATAAGAGTAATAGAATAAAGATTATATAATATTATAAGAATAAATTAAAGAGTAAGAATAAATAATTTAAAACTTATAAAATAAAATTCGAGAACTTACACTGGTTGAATAGGATTTTGCTGAATAAAAGTAGGAGTTAGATAAGAGTAGAATCAATTTAGAGGAATATTAGGATAAAATAAATCAGTTGGAATGTATTAATTAATAATTAGAACAAGCAGTCTAATCTAGTGCATAGGCATTTTAATTTTTATAATTTTAAAAGGAATAATTTTCTGTGGAATTAAATAAGAGATAGAAATAATTGGAAGTGAAAGAGCTATAAATTGTTTAATAAGAAATTTAGATTTAAAATTTAATGGAGGATTAAAATATATTAAAGAAATAGCTAGAGGAAATGAGTAATTAAATTTTGATAAAGGAATCCTAGATTACAGAGAGTAAAAGTTTGTTAAATGATCAGTTATGTTAAATGGAAAAGGAGAGGATAGACCAAGAAGAATAACTTATAAAATTATAATAAGAAAATTAACAGATGAGATAAGAACATGAGAAAATAAAATAATTAAATCATGACATAACAAATTAATTAAATGGATAATAAGATGAATTAAATGATAGATAAAAATAATTAATAATTTTAGAGAATGAAATAATATTTTTAAGGGATGAAAAAAAAATTTATGAAATAAAGATTATTGAATTGGATTAGAATATTAATAAGAGGGAGTAAGAAGTTAATGATTTAAATAGGAAGAATAAAACTTTGATTTAAGAGATGGTTGAGTAAGAAAATAAATATAAAAAAGAAATAGAATCATAAAGAATAGAGAGTTTATAAAATAAGAAAATATTTGAGGATAGAATTAATCATTTATTAATGGAATAAAATTAAATGATAGTAGATTTAAAGAATAATTATGATACTTAATTAAGAAATGCTTAAGATAATTTAAATTAAGAAAGAATAATTTAAAGGTAATTTGAGGAGAGAAATGTGGAGTCATTAAAGAATATTTAAAATTTAGAATAATAAAAATAGAAAGTTAGTGAAGAAAATATAGATTTGGAGAAGAAGATTGAAGAATTAAGAATTAAAAATAATAGTATTTAGAGTGAATTAGAGAAGATTAAGAAAGAGAGAGGAGAATAAGAGAATAAATATTAGTAATTGGAAAATTAGAGAAATGAGACATAAAGTTCAAACAAAAACTTATAAGAAATGTTATTTGAATTAAAACATTTGAATGAAAATTTGGTTGAGTAAAATAGTTTAAAGTAAAAGGAAATGGATGATGTAAAGAATTTAAATTAAAGTTTGGAGAAGAGAAATTCATTATTGATAAATGAGAAATCAAGTTTGTTAGAGTAGGTTAGAGATCAAAAATCATAATTAAGTGATTAAAGTTAATAGTATTTATAATTGGAGAATTAATTTAATTAAATGTAATAAAATATAATTAGAATTGAATCACAGAAGAATAATTTATAATAAATAAATTAGTAATTAGAATAATCATTATAGTAATAATAGAAGGTTAATTCTTAGATTATATAAAAGTAAGAATAATCATATTAGAATGAATTAGATAAATTAACTCTAGAACTATAAAATTAATAGAATTAAGTTAAACAGCTTTAACAAAAGATTGGGGAACATAAATTAGAGATTCAAACAATTAGAAATGAGTAAAAATAATGGGAAAATAATAAGATAAATGAATTAGTATAAATAAAGTAGGAGAGTAATGGACAAATTTAGAGATTGATGGATTAAGTGATTTAAGTTGAAGGATTGAATAAACAATACTAGAATGAGATATTAGAGTTGAATAATATAATAAAGATATAAATTGAAGAGAAGGATAAAATTATAAATAATTAAGTGATTGAATAATTATAAGAAAAGATAAAATGTAAGTAGTTTAATTTATAATATTAGTGAATGAATAATAAATCCAGAGATTACTTATTACAAATGGAGCCTTAATGGAAGAAAATGCACATCTTCACGAATAAATAAATGATAAGGATGAATTAAATTCTAGTTTTAGCAGCAATACTTCATAAAAGTGATTATATTAATTAATAAATAAAAATGGGTAGTTGCGCAACAAAAAATTAAGAGAATGAAGTTTCTTTACCTTCAAATCCTAGATTATAGAGGGCTTATTAAGTAATATGAAATCGATTTTATAGTAATATTCTTAAATCATTGAAATAACTCACCCATTAAATGTGAATTAGAAATACAATAGTTATTTTACTTTGATTCCAGATTAATTTGTAGGCACAGGAATAAAAAAGGCAAATCAATATGAATCTCGTCTCTCTAAAGAAGAATGGTAATAAAAAAGAGTTGAATTTTGGGGTATATATATCTGTCTATTTCAAATATAGAATCTAGAATAGAAGGATAGAAAGAAAATTGGATTACTATTAGAGCTGCTTTAGAAGCTGATGAAGGTACGGATTTTTATTAATTAGGAACTGCTAAAACTCTTTTGTAAGCTGCTGAGTTAAAGCTAATCAAAAATAGTATGTAAATTATTTATGACAATCATGGTATTTTATTAAAATGCATTCCTTAGGATAGAAATATGATTTACCTGTTTTTGTAATGCATAATCCTGTTTCCTTTCCTTAAAAATAATCTTTCGATTAAAATCTTTATTCAAGTTTTGACCGTAGAGTTGTAAAGGTAAATTTCTATATATATTCTCTAGTTTAAAATTAGAAGTACTAAATGGAATATTGATAAAGATGTTTCCTACAATACAGGAGATAGGGTTGACTTATTAATTAAAGAATTACAATCAAAAGAAAATCCATAGAAAATGAAACTGTTTGTAAATGGTAGAGAAATGAAAGGTCATAATATGTTTGGAAATTATGGAGTCCAAGATAATTCTGTAAATATTCTATCTATCTTTTTTATAGGTTGTACAAGCATTTATGTTCTGATTATATAATAATATATATATTTATGAATTAATTTTAAACTTATATAATTCTGATTATTTAATCACTTTAAACTAAACTTAAATAATAATTCACATAAATCATTAGTATTACATAAACTAAATCTCGCATCTCATCTTTTTTACTGAAATATACTATAATTTACAAATTGAACAGTTTAATGAAAATCATGTATAAATAATATCAATAATCCTTTCATCATCTTAATATCAAATAAGAAAAGTTAATGGATTCAATATCATTAAAGATAAATAATATGAATACAATATTTAAGGAAGATCTAAATAATATGAGTATGACTGTATTATAAATAAATAAAAGTAGTAATCCATATGAATAGATTGATAAAAAAACAATTTGGATTAGTTTAATTTGATTATAAATAAATTTTTTTGGATTCAATAATTGTGAAATTTAATGATAGAGTAATTTGATATATATTTAAATGATAAGATAAGAAGTGGTATGAGATGAAAATTTGTGTAAAAGAGAACAAAGATAATATAAATAAATAATGAAGTAGAGAATTTTTGATGTTATATAACTTATAAGTAAGTAATATAGCGTTTGATAGATAATGATTATATATAATAATTAAAACTTGAGAGAATGTAGAAGATAGGATTGTATTTATATAAAATAAATGAATAAATGATTTGAATTTATATTGATAATATATAAGAAATCACTTTCTCATACTTTTCTCTTGTTCATTTAGAGCGTAATATTAAGCTAAATGAATATTGACTTATTAATTAATTTGATCATTAGTTTCTTTTCTATACATTCTTTTATATAGGAAGGTAGTACAAATCATAAGGAGTATCATAGTAGTGAGCACAATAACCCAGGTTACCCAAGTACTTGAGTTTAGAGAATGTTCAATCTAAGATAAAATAATAGAATACCCAGATTCCATCATCTATATAACCAATCATTCTTTATTTACATATTTTAGGAAGGTATTATTCATTAAAACCACGACAGATGGTTTAGAGTGGTCCAAAATGAGATGTATCAAATAATTGTTATGCTCCAGTTTCATAATTATAAGTATAAGTAGAAACAGTTAATGCTCCTTTATATTTGAGATCATTAATGTATAAAATAGGCCATGAAAATGCAGAAAAGTTAAGGTTAATTTAATATTATTGACTAAGTAATTCATTATCTTCAAGTTCATCATTTTTATTATTAAAACTCTTTTCATAACAACTCTTAACTTCTTTTTGATCGATATTAACTTATTCCATCACTTCAGATGCACATTTTAATATTTCAGTATTTGTTAAACATCTATTACTATATTTTACAGCATATTGCCACCATTTTAATTAATCTTACTTGAATATACATAATTATTTCACTATTTCTCTTACAGCATCTTAACCAGTTAATGGACCATCAGCATCAGGATCACTTGCACAATATCTACCTCCAGATAAACATTATTAATTAGGTTTTTTATAATCTTCTTTTTTACATATTCCACATCTATCTATTGCATAATGTGGAGTAAATTCTAATTAATCTCTCATTTCTATATGGAATGGATAAAACTATTCTAAAAATTAATAACTAGATCTATCCATTGCACTAAACCAATATTGATAACTCACCTTCTCACTTTTCATCATCTCTGGAAATTTTACTACTATATATACTCTCTCATTTATATTTCTATCCATATATTCTTTTATTAAATCACCTTACTTTTTAGATATCATTATTGCTGGTATATCAATCTCCTTTGTCTCATTTAAACTTACCAAATTCAAACCTGTTATTTCCTCATCTTAATTATCAACTATCACTAACATCTAATATCCATATGATTAAGCATTCATTGTCTAATTCTACTTTCATATTTTATACCTTTATGAAAAATGTACAATCACCTCTCTGGACTAATAGTACTTTTACATTAGAATAGTCATTGCTTAAATTATTACTATTATTAAATTCTGGCTAACAAAAAGTAAATGGAGATGCCACTTCAAGCATTCCTGCAATCCTTTATCCATATGGCACAAAACCAAAATTTGCAATATTAAATTTTATTGTCTACAATCCAACATTATTTGCTAACTCTTATGGATGCTAAATAAATAATGTTTCATTTTGTCCCAACACCAGTGTTATTAATGCAAATATTATCATTTAATTAATTTTTAATTATTTATCAACCATTCAATAAGGTTTTGTATATAATAATACATTAATCACAAATACTCAGACATTTTATTAACTCTATTCTTTATTCTCTTCTTTGGATTCTCTATTTACTTGGCTCTTATTATTATTTAATAGTTTCGATAGCTCATTTTAATATTTAAAATTAAATCAAAAGACCTATCATTTTAAACATCAACAAATTATCGATCAAATTTTATTATGATGATATTCATTAATTTCATAATAAAAAATTAAATACAAGAATGTTATTCCAAAAGAGTAGGATATATATTTACCATAACTCTATTTAGAAGATCATGATTAAGGAAGTTTTAATTTATTAACGATAGATCTCTTTCAATTTACTTGGTATGGTAGTAACGTGTTTTTAAGTAACTTGATATTATTCTCAATTGCATATAATAACAAACAGTAAATTTCTAAAATATTTTTGTAAAAATGATTTAGCCTATGCAGCAGTTTAATCTCTATTAACCTACAGCAAGATCATATCTATCTCTGTATTTAATCATGAGAAAATCAAAAAAGAGTTTTCTACCGAAGGTCTCCAAATAATACTATAATTTTCATATTTGTCATTTTGTTTAATATTATCTAATTCTCTTCTTTGATCTAAGTATTAGTACTTATCTAATTGTTTTGAAAGAAGAAGAGTTGGAGAAATATCTGTAATGACAATTATTTTTTGTTCATTATAACAACTTAATTGTTTATAAAATTTATTTAATTTCATTTGTGCTAATAGGTTTTTGTAAAAATAGTCCATACCGGCTTCTTTACACATTTATTTAGTTTACATATCTGTGTAGGCAGTTTAAGCTATAATAATTGGAGGATCTATATCTACAGAACTGCAATAATCAATAATTAATATTGTTGCTTGAATTCCATTCATAATAGGCATTTCTATATCCATTAGAATGACTTAATAATAGTGTGATTTAAATTTATCCAGTCCTTCTTGACCATTATGTGCTTAATCACATTTAATATTTAATCTAGAAAGCATTGTAGTGAGTGCATAGATATTGACAAATTCATCATCAACTATTAAAATTTTAACTCCATTTTCAGTTGATTCATTTGCAACTTAATCTAAGGGGGAATGTTTGAATTTTTTAGGTTTTTTTGTTTCTCTAAATATGTATGGAGCAGAAATAGTTTCATCAGGTTCAGAGAAATCTTTGATTACAAAAAATAGTTTTACTTTCTGAATTTTTGTCAATTAATTTTTATTTACCTTTGAGAGAAAAGGTAAAAGAGGATTACCTTTTTTTATCACTTGGACTAATAAGAAAACTTTGTTCAAGAATACTTCTACCAGAACTAATAATTTTATTATATTTAATGGTTCTCTTACTTATAAGATCTGGAGTTTCAAGCATCTTAAGATCTTCTAAAAAGAACCAAAATGTAGAGCCATTTTAATTTTTAGATTCAAAATGAATACCAGATTCATAATTAGGGGATAAACCATTGCAAATACTATTGCTAATCATCAAACCCAGTCCATAATTAAAATTAGATTATCGTTTATGTGGTTAATTAAGGAATTCTTTAAGTTTGGATTATGTCTCTTAATTCATTCCTGATCCAGTATCTGATACACAGACTTTAACAAAAACCTAATCTCTTACTATTAGTTCTGATAGACAAATAGTAATATTTCCATGAAATGTGAATTTTTGAGCATTTGAAAGTAAATTATTTAAAACTTATTTAAAACGTTAACCATCAGTGTGAATATATATTTCATTCATTTTGATATTCAAATCAACACCTTTCATACTCAATTATTATCTATATAAATCAGCAACTTCATTTATAAGTAGATAAATATTCTGAATTTAAACAGTAAAAATGAAATTCTTAGATAGAATTAAACTAAAATCTCTAACATCTTAAACTATTGAATTAAGAATATAACAACTATTTAAAATAGGTTATATAATATTAATGGCAAAGTAATCGTCATCAATATCTTCTAGAGCACTTTCAGCAAGAATTCTTATACAATTAAGTGATGTGCTGAATTCATGACTAAAACTTCTAAATAATTAACTCATTAATTATTTAGTTACTTTACGTTCCCAATACTCTCTGCATTCGTAAAGATCTACAAAAGTCATCCCAATATTATCATTATAATTAAACAATTCAATCATGTAATGATCACCAAATGATGTTTAACATTCCAAAATTTTACATTTTGGTAATTGAGAATTTATCATTTGAAGTAAATTCAACATTTTTCTTTCTTTTATTTGTTTATCGACTTTTAAAATGATTATTTCATTAATTATCTATTAAATTATTATTGGATCATCAACGCCTAGCAACTTTTAATATCTTCATTCCCAGATATCATCTTTCCTTTATTAGTTACTATTAAATGAAATTAATCATTATGGCTTATAATCAAACTATCTGATGGGTTGTTCCAAGTTTTTGAATAGCTTTGATTCTTAGAGATCTTTGTCGTTTTCTTTATGGTACTACCATTCGATAACCATACTAATAATACAATGCAGACTGCTATCAATGTATTATCATAATTAAATTCTAACTTTACACCTGCAACTACTCCTGCAAAAGGTAGACATAAAAACACCTTTTTTGGATGTTTATGATTCTATAGTGGAATGATATAAAGCAACCTTTTGGGAATAATGGATAATACATTTCACTTAAATGTTTGTTTGCAACAGTTCTTAATGTGTTGGCTACTATAAGTAGTACAAGCATAGAAATTTGATCATTTTTTTCTCTTCTATATTTAATCCTCAATACGCACCAGATGCACAATATCGGCAATGAAGCAATCATAGAATACAACTCATAGTCGTTTTATTATTCAAACAAGCACTCAGCTACTGTTGCACAGCAGATTCCTAGAATATACAAAAAATCAATAATAATCATATTTATACTAAAAAAGTAAGTTATTCCAAGAGAATCTCATATTCTTGAAATTAAGATATTTTTTAGAAGTTCAAATTTAACAATTATTCTAAGTAATTATTAAGCTTGTTCACATTGGTAATTATTTACACATTTTACATATTGGTATAAATTTAATTAATATAAATCACAACTGCAATTACCATTGTGTATATAATTTAAAATTATCTCTTTATTCATCCGCATCTCTTATTAGATTGGATAATTGCCTGATATTTTGTAGAAACTACTACTTCATATAGTACTATCTAAATGAAATTTTGGATTAAATATTAGAATTATCGATATTATCGATTTCTGGGGGATTTTCAATGCAACCCATCTATTCGTAAACTTCATATATAGCCCATTGTAACTAAATTCCAATATTAGGATTCTATTGTTTTATTAATTCCAATAATTTCACTAATTTTTGTTGCAAAATATCCTTACAAAAAGGTACTAATATAGATTAAACTTTTAGATATTAAATTAAAGTATCTTCCTATATTTTTGAAAAGATCTATTGAATTATTTTTAAATTGTTAGTAAAAATTTGTTCAGCGCTATCTTTTTTATTGGAGTCTAGAAGAAAATACAATCTTTGAAGCAAAAATATTTATTTATAGTCATTTGTTTATTCTTTAAGTTTATCATAGACAATTTATTTGATTTAATTGTCAGTGAATTTATTGATTTACAAATGAAGTGATAAAATTTCAAAATATTCTTATTCGATTAATTCACAAATGTAAGTTTATGGTGAAGTAGATGCTGTTAGGAAAGCATGTATTAACTATAATGATTTATAAGGTGGTTCAGTCTTAAGAAATTCAAGAATAAAATCATAGAAGAGATGATCACAATCTGAATCTGATAAACATGAAAATAATTCTTAGATTTTGATATAATATTGATATCCTTCAGAGAGCAAGAATTCGCCTAATATTTAAATAATTTTTTCTTCATTCAAATCCATGATCAAATAAAAATATAAATATTAATTCTAGTTCAAAAGTTAGTTAATTTCTATAAAATCATATTTTTTATTTATTGTAAGGTATTATTATATATCTCAGCAATCGTTTAAGAAGTTTACAATGGATAAGTTACTACTCAAAAGTGAATAAATAGCATTTTAGATGTTCAGATAATTGGCACCTATATATTATAATCAATTATACAATAAAGTTTTTTCTTTACAATTACTTATTTATTTATCAAATCAGTTGAGAATTTTTTTTATTGATCCCATATTCCAACTAACGATATCATTTATTTTAAAATAATCATTTAAAATATTCTAAATTTTCATCAGGTTCAAATGTAGTAGCCAACCCTTTCAGTGAATAATGAAGTATTTTATCAATATATTTTATAAAAGTAGAGTATAATTTAATTCATTATAAATGGATAGTCTTATTATTAATTCCTTCAATTTACTAACTTTTATACATTCTTGTGATCTCTTTTTCTCTCTCAGTTTTTAAAGACTAAAATTATCAAATAATAGAATACTTTATATTTTTGCCTTAATTTTGTCATATCTACATTTTAATTTTATTAAATAACATTTTAGTTTTTTAAGTACTATTTTACATACTTATCAATTCTGGAATCCAATCTATTCTTATATTTTCCAGGACTTTCCAATCTAATTTCTGTGCTACTTCCATGTATATTACTCATAGAAGCTTTCATAGTTTATTAATGATATTGATTAGATATCTAAGATTGCAAAGTTCCAAATCTTTAACTTTTTGTGTGAGAAGTTGTTTAACTAGATTCTCCTTTTTATTTTGGAAATTTTAAATAAAACTTTCTGATTTATTTAGTATCATTTTCACTAGATTCTATTTATGATGCCCTGATAGAATGTTCAGGTGTAATTTCATTTATTTCTTTGGGTGTTTTCATTCCATTTTCTCTTAACTCATCTATTAATTAGGAAAAGTGATTCCTTCTTAATTATTATCCAATATTAGGAACTTCCTTAACATGAAACACATAATTATTTGTATTGAATAATTCACATTTCATATTTGTAAAAGTTCTCTTTCTATCAATTAATCTTGCAGTGATTGCCTTCTAATTACCATCTGCTTATTAATCAGATCCCAATAATATAGGATCACCAGGATTTAATTATTTAATTTACAACTTTCTTTTAATAGGATAAAATGTTTAAAATGCTCTCATTTCTTAAATTAATGTTTTATTATCAACCTTTTTATCTAAATAATCCTCTATTTCACTTAAGACATGATAAAATCTTTATCCTTCAATCTCTACATATTCTTAAGGTTATTCAGTCTTTTATTTATTAATTTATTTAAGTTCATTCAATTTTTAATACAATTACTTTGAGTCTAAATTACTAAAAGCATATTTTTCACTTATATCACTATTGTATAAATCTTAATGATTTAGCTTGACTTTATACTCACTTGGACTCTATTATTCTTACTTTATCAATTCTTAATACTCAATTTCTTCTTCATTTTTTTCTAATCTTTTTATATTGTACAATGGACCTAAATCAAATTTAGAATCTCCAGCACCATTATGCCAACCATTTATCATCCCTTAATCAATCTTCGATGTCTTTATTATACGAGCACTTGATGGGCCATCATACTTCATTGTAGAGTCTATTTTACATACTCTTCTCTATCCAAATTGTAATGCTATCTTTCTATCAATCTTCTAAAACACTATTAATTAATCATATTATACCTACTCTTTTAACCATAAAAATTAAAGAGCTCTATTCAGTGTGATTGGATGAGGTGCTTAATCTCTAAATTTTGTACATTTACTAAAAAAGGCAACCTTTATATAACTCATTATCATACATCCTCCTTCTCCACTTATTTTAATACATTCTCATATATCAATTTATGCCTGTGCATTTTTTACATTTTTTTCTTCATCTTTTTATAAATAATTTTTAAAACTAATTAGTTGATATTATGATTGATACTTTTATAATTACTAAATAAATTATAATATTTTAAATATATTTCCTATCTAATCATCAATCAATCTCTATACCAAACTATGATCTAACCACTTTACATGTAACATTCCCAACCAGGATATTAACATTTTAATACTATTCCTAACTTTTAAAATTCCCCCTTTCTACACAATCCAACTAATGTCGTTTATTGCTATTTATTCTTTGGATCCTTTTCCATAACATTTGTAATTTTTAACTTTCTTTCTCTATATTGTTTTTCTCTATAATTTTCATATATTATTTTCTCATATGGACAAACTCCATGCGAATCGTAATCCTCTTTTTTATTAAATAGTGTCAAAGTTACCCAAGATGTTGAGTAACTTGCCTAAAATTTTTAAATTTATTTATTTACACTAGCCCATCCTTGATCTTTTGTTTCAACTATTGCCATTATTGCTTCTATTTTATCACATATCTCTGATATATCTAATTCTAAATATAATTAGATTTCGCTATTCCTTACAACTGCATCTTTCTTAATAGAAACTTCCTTTCTCTTAAAATTCAATAATGTTTCTTTAAAAAAAGAATTTGTTAAACCTAAATTTAGCACTTCTTGAGCAATCAAGTATTTTGATAATTAATCAATCAAACGAATATCAAGAATTCCAAGTAATCCCAATGATGTTTATTCTTATTAGTCCATATTATTAATTTAATATAAAAATATTTAGAAACTATTTATTTATGATATNTTAATGATTTAGCTTGACTTTATACTCACTTGGACTCTATTATTCTTACTTTATCAATTCTTAATACTCAATTTCTTCTTCATTTTTTTCTAATCTTTTTATATTGTACAATGGACCTAAATCAAATTTAGAATCTCCAGCACCATTATGCCAACCATTTATCATCCCTTAATCAATCTTCGATGTCTTTATTATACGAGCACTTGATGGGCCATCATACTTCATTGTAGAGTCTATTTTACATACTCTTCTCTATCCAAATTGTAATGCTATCTTTCTATCAATCTTCTAAAACACTATTAATTAATCATATTATACCTACTCTTTTAACCATAAAAATTAAAGAGCTCTATTCAGTGTGATTGGATGAGGTGCTTAATCTCTAAATTTTGTACATTTACTAAAAAAGGCAACCTTTATATAACTCATTATCATACATCCTCCTTCTCCACTTATTTTAATACATTCTCATATATCAATTTATGCCTGTGCATTTTTTACATTTTTTTCTTCATCTTTTTATAAATAATTTTTAAAACTAATTAGTTGATATTATGATTGATACTTTTATAATTACTAAATAAATTATAATATTTTAAATATATTTCCTATCTAATCATCAATCAATCTCTATACCAAACTATGATCTAACCACTTTACATGTAACATTCCCAACCAGGATATTAACATTTTAATACTATTCCTAACTTTTAAAATTCCCCCTTTCTACACAATCCAACTAATGTCGTTTATTGCTATTTATTCTTTGGATCCTTTTCCATAACATTTGTAATTTTTAACTTTCTTTCTCTATATTGTTTTTCTCTATAATTTTCATATATTATTTTCTCATATGGACAAACTCCATGCGAATCGTAATCCTCTTTTTTATTAAATAGTGTCAAAGTTACCCAAGATGTTGAGTAACTTGCCTAAAATTTTTAAATTTATTTATTTACACTAGCCCATCCTTGATCTTTTGTTTCAACTATTGCCATTATTGCTTCTATTTTATCACATATCTCTGATATATCTAATTCTAAATATAATTAGATTTCGCTATTCCTTACAACTGCATCTTTCTTAATAGAAACTTCCTTTCTCTTAAAATTCAATAATGTTTCTTTAAAAAAAGAATTTGTTAAACCTAAATTTAGCACTTCTTGAGCAATCAAGTATTTTGATAATTAATCAATCAAACGAATATCAAGAATTCCAAGTAATCCCAATGATGTTTATTCTTATTAGTCCATATTATTAATTTAATATAAAAATATTTAGAAACTATTTATTTATGATATCATTTGCATTAAAACGTACTATTCTAACAAATATTAATTTTATCTATTATAAATAAAATATTTTCTGTTATTTCAAAATTATGAATTCAACTTATTAAAATAAAATAAGCAGCAATCTAACCCCTAGAAAACAAAAACAAAATGATAAATAATCTTTACTTTAATTGTAAGATCAAATAAATTTTAATAGAACTATTAGTAAATGTTTAGAGAATTCAACAAATAATAAAAAGAGAGACTCTTTCTTGAGTATGCTTATTTAGGAATAATAATAAGCAATAACAACAAGATAACTAAGTGTCAATAAATCTGTAAAAACCTCTCCCATAGAATCGTAAACAATATATATATTCAGATCTCCTTATTTATAAAAATCAACAGCTACTACTTCATTTTCACACTCTTTAATCAGAAAAAGTGTAGAACAATCTCAAAAGATTACGACTTAATTTGATAAATTGTTATATGAAAATTCGTCATTATTAATGAGAATCCAAGAATTGGAATAAAAAGTAAGATAAATCTTAAGATAGTAAGAATTCATTATTATAGATGAAATGTTAATCTTCAAGAATTTAAAATTTTGTATTTAAATAAGTTAAATAAAAAAGTGACATAAATTAAATATTATAAGCAAATAAAAATAATGAAAATGAAAATAGAATTTTAAGAGAATTAATTAATAGACAGACTTCTTTAATGCATATTCCATCAGTTCTTTAAACATTATCACTTAAGAAATGATTAGATACTGTTTTTAAATTATATTAAAATTTTAGAGGAATCATGGAATATCTAATTATTTTTATAATTGTCTAGATCTATTGCACAATAATCCAACTTATTTTTGCTTTAAATCAAAGATTCCCAATAATTCTGTTAATAAACGAGGTTATAATGCTAGCAATCCTAGAATTTAAATTGAATTGAATTGCATAAACTGCTCTTAGCTTACAGAGTTACGAATTCTAAACATATAAAGAATAAATACATCGAATCTGCTATAGATGACCCATTTAAATCAGTCTTCTATTAAGAATCGATCAAATCGATCATTATTTGTTATAAAGTATCATATAAAATGTTTTGAATTTTTCTCTCTTTTATGATACTGCTTTCATTTTTACTATTATTGAGAGTACTAACATCAAAATATATAGAGTTAGCATAGCCATTTTTATTTGTGATTTTTTATTTGTTCTTGAAACTTTATATAGATAAGTTAGCACATTCTGATAATAAGCTTCTGATCTAGCAATATCTATTTGTCACTTTCTAAATAAAACGAGTAGATTGCTGTGTTCTTGATCTTAATTCTTAGACTTGACGATAAATGTACACAATGTCATTAATTTTCTATTCAATAATTTTTTTAAATTTATACTTCTTACTGATTTTCTGACTAAACATTTTTCATAATGTGAAGCAAAGTACTTTTAGATTTCTACTTTAATGGAAGAGAAGGTAAAGTTTATGGTTTTGGAATGGAAGTTTCTGGCATTGTTAGAAACATATCAACACTATTTCTGTCAACTTATTATTTACAATATATACTGGAAACTGTTCTTTTTTCTTGTTTGATTTTAATCATATCTTCTTGAATTCTAAAAGAATCTCTTACTATATCTCTTATTTCTATCCTTTTTTAGTATACAGTCTATTTCAATTAGTTTATTGTCATTTTATTTAATTTTATCTCATCAACTATTTTACTATGGTTCTCACTAAGAGCCTTTTCATATTTTGAAATCTTGTGCAATTCTGCTACAACTTCTTTAACAGAAGGATGATTCTCAAGACTAACAATAGCATTTAATACAATTACTCTTCTTATGATTTCTTCTTCTCTTCTAACTTTATTATTTAATATTTTAATCTCTCTAGTTGATTCATTAAGTGAAAATATCTTTAATTTAATCTTTCTTCCTAATTATTTCCTTATTACTTGTACCTCTTTTCCAACAGCAAATGCAGTTTTCGGATTCACTTACTCAACATAATTTTATACAACCTGATGTTTTTCCTAAACTTTATCCATTCCATCATTGATGCTAATAGTAATGATAAATTTTTTACGGCTCAATCAACATAATTGAACCTCGCTTCTGAAGAATATGAAGCATTGATTTCATTTTATTAATCTAATAATTATTTTAATTTTTATGCTAGAATATATTAATAGATGCTTAGAGTTTTCATTATCTCCAGCCCCCAATTTTCAAACTCCACTTTTAACTAATGTCAAACATCTGGCAAATCTAGAAAATTATTGCATACATTCAATTGTGAATTTGAATCCATCAATTACATATGAGTAATCTCCTTTGGTATAACATTCATCAAGTAATTACAATTATAATATGTAGTTAGTGAATCTTATGTGATATAAGAAAATAAATTAAATAATTTTACTCAAGAATCTCCTTAACAAAGTTCCAATAAAAAAAATTTGAATTTAATTTTTAATTAGTAAGGAAATTAATCAACAAAGACTTTAAGAGAATAAATTGATGAAAGGCTTTAAAATAGACAAAGATAATCTCATGTACCTGAATGTGCAAAATTTTCATTTTCCCCTTTCAAGATTAGATCAAAAAGTCCGTTAATATAGTAGTAAAGACCTAGCCCTGAAAAATTGGAAGAGTATGAAAATAAAGAAAACTAAATGCCAACTATACATAAGAAATAATTTTCTTAAATTAATTAGTATAGTGAAACACCGAAAAAGGTCTACATACCTTTTTAAAATACAAAGTTCAATAAAACTCCTTCTAAATAATCTTAAATTCAAAATAAAATAAAATCATAAGTTTAACCATCCTAATAATAAAGACATTCATTAAAAAGAGAATATAAAAATGGAGTCAGCCATATTAAGTTAACTTTGTATAAATAATGAGTAATAATAAAAATTAATACTTGAATTTTCTTATTTATTCTATTCTATTTATATATAAGTCTAAATTTATAAAATAAATCTGTTGAAATATTATCAAAAAAATTAATTGAGTTTCAAATTTATCTTAATCTTACTACTTTTTAATAAAATTTTTCATTAATAGTAATTATTAATATTAAAATCTGAAGAATTCTGTAAATAATATTGAAGCAACTCAAATATGAATTTAATTTTATTGTATTTTTGATTCTCATCATCAAGATATCTTAGATTTTAATCATTTATGCTTGCTATAAATTTATATATCAAATTTATCATTATAGATAATGTATTATTTACTTTATTATTTAATCTTGTAATTAGTATTAAATGCAATTTAAAATTTGAATTATGATAATTTTAGGAATGATCATGATAGAATGACATTTTAGAGTAAATGATTTATATTTGAATATTGAGTTGAAAATAAAATTATATATTTACCAAGAAAAAGTTTTTAAATGATTGATATTTTTGCTTTTAATTCTCATAAGCATGAATATGATGCAATTTTTTTCTTAAAAATTTGTATTGATAAATTAAAAATGTCAATAAAATATGAATAATGATATAAAATTAAATTTATATAAAAATGATAATTAATAACAAATTTATATTCAGTGATTTTATCAATATAATCAAATACTTAGTTCTACTTTTTTTTTTTTTGTTATTGCAAGTTCTTTAAATTTACATTCGACGATTTATTTAAACTTTTTTTCTTAACTTGATTTATTTTTAAGACTGTTTCTAGCATTAATAAACCAATTTAAAACCTATAAGAAATGGCAAATATACATAC